GGAAATTTAGCAACCCGGAAAGTGAGACAAGCCCACCATCTTGTGTCCCCCTCCGAACCCTACAACTTTTGTCTGAAACATTTTTCTCTAAACTCAACGGCGTTTGAAATATTCGCCTGGCTAGATTAAAATGAAACACCCTGTATATATAGCGTTTCATAAGTCGCAACTTTAATTTTAATGACAGATGACTTCAATGATTTTGAAATCGATTTTTCTCCTTAACAGAAATATCAAGCCTCTGATAACTTCTGAACTATAAGCGATTGCAAAACAGGAAAAATTTTCGCGATCTAAGCTTCAACAACTTTGACAAGTAGATAGTTCATATTCTTTGATTAATTTCGACAAAGTGGATTTAATAGAATTTTAATTTATAATTAAAATATATAAAATATATAATATTGAAAGTAAAAAATAATGAGCTTCTTTTGTGTACTTCTTTAAAAAAATACAGAAAATTGGTCAAACAATCTGTTGCTAAAATTGAAGTTGCAAATTGTGAAACAACTTACACTTGTGTATTTTATATTTTACATAAAAAAAGAATTACCTTTTGTACAGCCACAACATGTCTTTCTTAGATGTTATTCTAGTTGGCAAGTTGCATAAATATTCCTCGTTTTCCGATAATATCGGCGATGTCGCTAAAGAAGGTTGAAGCCAATTCAGTCCTTGAATAAAAATCCAGCAATCTGGCTCACCCTTAAAAATTTATTCACAATATAAAATTTTTCCAAACTATCAAATTATGAACATTGTTAATTAGTTATTAAATTAAGTACAGTTGCATTTTGAATATAAACTAGCATACAATATAAACCAGCACATAAGAATGTAAAAAATATCACTTGTCAAAACTTCAGCAACATGACACTTGAAAATCTTGTTTGCTAGACAAAAAATTAAAAACGCATACAAAAATTCAGCATAAAAATATCATCTTTCTCTCATATAAAGCTTCTGAGCTTCAAATCAATCTAATTTTGCTATGCAATGCTATTTCAGTGATCCTCACACATGCAGACCTCTTCAAGAAAAATACTTTGAGAGCAACGAACGCAACTCACATTGGGATCAAATATGCGACAGCCGTGCTTGAAAATCCGTTCCATAGCATTGTGCAATCGATTCAGCCCGCCGTAAACATTCCACACGTTTGACACGCCGTCGATCAACAAACCCTCCACGGTGGAACGTAGGTTATGGAGGAGCTGCCACTGCTCCTTGCTGTGAACGTTCTCAGACATCCTGTCGACATCGCGATCAACATCATAATCTTTCATTCAAATATACAAACTCTTCAGAAAAATAAATTGCTCACCTGATCGACCGCGACAACTGACAACGACGAGATTCCACCCATAAGGACGCGGTCTCCTTGCTGCTCGCTTTATGCCTCGCCTGCGTGACGCGATGGTGTTTCCTCGCGTTCGCAGACGGATTAATTAATGTCTAATTGTGCGAGCATAAATTGACACAAAGGCAGAATTAGGGACAATTGTTTAGGAGGCGCTTAATTGCGCCCAGGCGGGGCATCACTCGCTGCAGGAACGCTTGCTGTCACTTGCACGCCGTGTTGTGACTCGCACTCACTGACGTATCGCACGACCGTGATTGACGATAACGCGCGATAACGCAATACACGCGGGCAACACCCGCTGTACTCGATCATGAGTGAACACGATGAGTAATCATGTGGCCCATTTGGAATCGCTGTTTACGCTGATAACTATAGGTAACCAGTCACTGACAGTAACGCCAGATTTGAGCCCCGAGCAGCCAGCAGCGTAAGGAAGGATACATCGCACACATGCGCAAGCAACGTACATGTGAGCTCCGCGCCTCGGCTAGCTTCGAAGAAAAAACAGACATATTATTTCTACGAAAAAGCATAATATCAACGTATATTATATATATACAATGACATATTATATTTATTATTACATATATTATGTATATAATATATATAAGGATGTCTTAAAAACGTCTTAAAAAAGACATCTTTAAGATGTCCTAAAAACGTCCTAAAAAAGACGTCGTTTTTTAAATAACTTTAACAATTGCATTTTGCAACAAAAACACTTTCCAACAATTTTAAAGAAGACATTTTAATTATTTTAGTATTTTACGAGCATCCTAACCTGTCAAAAGTAGCCCAGAAGCATGTAGAAGAGTTCAAATTACCCACTGGAACGGCCAGAAATGCTTTATTGTAGCCGGAATATTAGGAAATTAAAATATTGTTAACAGGAGCACATGATGATATAGGAGCTAACTCATAACAGCGCCATCTACAACATTATGTAAATTAACTAGCGCAGTCGGTACACTTACCATCAATGCATTTGTAATGTTGCTTTAGCTAATCAATAGATGGCACTTACGAGTGAGCTCCTCTGTCACGTGTGCTTCTGTTAACAACCTCCTATATCATCATGTGCTCCTGTTAACAACCTCCTATATCATCATGTGTTCCTGTTAACAATTTCATAAAATCCCAACTAAAATGGCCGCTGAAAAAGGAGACAGAAATAGTATGTCTGCTCTTTTCTAGTGTTGGAGCGTGGAACTGACGTGTCCGTGGTTTGCGCATGTGTGCGATATTACGTGTCATAATGCTAATAAAATATTTAAATAATTAAAATGTTTTTTTTTAACTTTTGGAAAGTTTTTTGTTACAAAATTTAAAATGCCAATCGTTACAAAAAAATTGAAAAACGTATTTTTTAGGACGCTTATAATTATTTATTATTACGTTAATTGTTAATTATTAAATTGAATATTCTGCAGATTAGGTTAGGTTATCTTCTTTAACGGAATTTTTTATATCTTAACTTAATAAAGCTCGCGTAAAACATTTTTTATTGAAATATTTATTTCCAACTGCTCGGTACAATGTAGACAAAAATGAATAAACATTCGTAATATAATAAAATGCATGATTATGCGCATAATCTCGTAAATAAAACGAAGTAAATCTGCAATTAATTCATTGATACATAAACTCCATAAATGACGTCGGCAAAGTATTAAAGCGTGGGTCAAAGTCCGCGCGCATGTTTCCCCTTCTCGAAGCGATCACACCCGGTCGCCGTGCAGGCAGGCCGACGATAGCTAAAGTATCAGCCGCGTGCGATGTCGTATGCGTGACTCCGCGAATTTCTCTCGATGCAAGTGAGTGTCCATCCGAATTGATCAAAACCGACTGAAACATGGCAAGCTGCAGGCTGTTCGGCGCCCTTGCACGCTGCTCCCGCAGCAACGCGAGTTTCGTAACACGAACAGGTGATTACGTATGCACGATGTGTTGGCTAGGACTTGTGCCGAAAGGAGTCTTATGTAGGAGAGAAAAGATCGCAACATGCTTTGCGGAGTAATTTTATGACAATGAAGCCGGCGTATAACGAGCTATTCACAAAAATTTCTTTTCAATATTGTTAGATGTCTGACGGATTGAACGCGAAAGATCTCGAATTTGGAATGAAAGTTGAACGGCCTCTCGTTGGCGATCCGGAGCAAAGTGCTCTCCAAGGTTAGGTTTACGACATATGTAATGCAGCATCGGCCCGAGGCTAGAATTAATCGCTAAACGGTGTCTAGCTGATAAGGTTATTAGCAATTTTCGACACTGAATACTGTAGATGTCAAACGAATTATCGGTACACCGGGCACAATGTTAACAAGTAACGCCGGTGTGTGTGTTCGACCTTTGCCCTCCACGACGCAGAGAGAGCTGACGAAGTAGATTATTGCTAACTTGGCGTCAACAGTGATTAATTTATACCGGCAAACTGTGTTATTTTTAGGAATACACTTTGCTGTACTTACGCTCGAGCAAATCGTGTAATCGACTTGAAAAATTTGAAGGAAAGACAGTCAAGTTTGATTTAATTGCTCGCTCCATTTGCAGTGCTTAGAAATTCAATTGTTTGAATAACTTAAAATGACAAAATGATAGATTTTTTTATTCATTTTCTGTTAGCTCCTTTAGATTTCTGCTGTCATTCCACATATTTTACAACTTGTAGTAAACTTAACAAAATCTGTTTTCAATAAATTCTGCTGTCCAGATTAGATAAACGAAGACAAAAGAAGTATACTTAGATAATAGCTAAAAGTTGAGATAAATTGTGATTTTTTTCAGAGAAATATTTCTTGAGCACTTATGTATTTCAACTGAAACAAAGAAGATATTAGTAGATTTATCTAATATAAAAAAGAATACTAAATTGACAAACCAGAGGTTATAGTGTTTTTAGTTGAAATAATATTCATCAATTTTTATATTTATTTTTAAATGTATTTAAACCAACTTATTGATAGGCTCATTAAACACATTTCAAATATTTTTATGGTATCTTTTCAGGTTTATACCAACCTTTAAGAACAATGGTAAGCGGGGCAGATAGGAAACATTTTAAATGCAAAAATGTAAACGACGTAGCAGTTATTACAATAGATTCGCCAGGTGTTAAGGTAATGTGTGATATAATATTTATGTCACGCTATTTAATTATGATAATGAAACCATTAAAAATTAAAAAAATAGCATTAACACAAATTTTTGTCTTATTGTTAATACAGGTAAACACTTTAAGTAAAGAACTGATGGCGGAAGTGGAAGGGCTGCTGAATGAAATTCAATCAGATCCGGCAGTGAACTCAGCAGTAATCATCAGCGGGAAACCAGGCAATTTCATAGCCGGCGCAGATATTACTATGTTGCAAGCCGTTAAGGATGAAGAGAGCGGTTATGAACTGATGAAGGATGGTCATAGAATTTTTGATAAAATAGCAAATAGTAGCAAACCGATTGTTGCTGCTATTAACGGCACGTGTCTCGGTGGAGGTTTGGAGGTAACGTGTCTGCAATAATTAAGATAAGCAGTTAAATTAAATAAAGTTAAAAAGACTTGGATAAAAAAAACAGGATATGACAATAAAATCGTGCAGATAAAAGACAAAATTCTTAGCTTGAACAATTGTTCTGTCCAGGTCGCCTTGGCATGCCATTACAGACTCGCTGTTAACAATAATCAGACGAAATTAGGGCTGCCGGAGGTGATGCTCGGTCTTCTTCCCGGCGGCGGCGGCACGCAGCGCCTACCCAAGCTGACAGCTCTTCCCACTGCTCTGGATATGATACTTACTGGTAAAACGCTCAAGGCCGACAGGGCGAAGAGACTCGGGCTGGTGGATATCGTGGTCAACCGTCTCGGTCCGGGCGCTGGCACAGCGGAAGAAAAGTAAAAAATATTGCAGAAAACATAGTCGAGTAGATGCGAGTAGATGCGCTTAAACCTTTTGCACTGATTTAAAAAAAAAATTGATATTTTAAAATTTTTTGTTATACTAAATGAAGTCAATGATCAAATCTTTTGTGAAACTAATAATTAAATTTTTATGCTATAATAATTTACTTGCCATTTGCATGCTTTGGAAAATATTTTCTTCCTTCCTCACACATCTTTTTTATAGAGCAAAAAGTTTAATAGCGCTGCATCACACAGATTAATGGTATTTTCAAAGATGAAATCACGCTTTTTAGCACGATGCGATACTTGGAGGAAACCGCGATAAAGGCCGCGCGCGATATCGCAGCCGGGAAACTGAAAGTCGAGCGTGGCCCGAAATCTTTCGTGGATAAGATAACGCAGCACGTTCTGTCCTACAATTTCGTCAAAGATCAAATATTCAAGAAGGCGAGGGCCCAAGTGATGAAAATGACGGGCGGCCTGTACCCGGCGCCGCTCAAGATCCTGGAAGTAATCAGGACCGGTCTGGACAAGGGGCCTGCGGCCGGATTCGACGCCGAGGCTAAAGGATTCGCTCAGCTGGTGGTGACGCCGGAGTGCAAGGGTCTCACCAGTCTGTTCTTCGGCCAGACAGCCTGCAAGAAGAATCGCTTCGGCTCGGCCAAGAGCGCAGCCAAGTACGTGTTTCTCTAAACGGCGTTTAATTTATCATTTGGCACACATCGAGCTAATGAGTATAAATAATCACTTATGTTTAATGATTAAATTTAGTAATTCTATGATTAATTGATTTTTTAAAATAATTCTTTATTGATGTGCGCAGGAAAATTGCCGTTGTTGGCGCCGGCTTGATGGGCGCGGGCATCGTCCAGGTGAGCATCGACAAAGGTTACAACATCGTTATGAAGGACACCAATGAGGCTGGATTGTATCGTGGTGTAAGCCAGATTCAGAAGGGCCTGGAGGGCGCCGTGAAGCGCAAACGAATCTCCAAGTACGCATAGAAATCAATGTTTAATTACATTTTTATTACGTTAATTTCTTTAATTTAGATTTTTTAATATTATATACTTTTCAATTATATGCTGAAAAATTGTTTTATCATAAGCAGAAATATATTTAATTTAAAAGCCGCGCAAGAGTGCAGATTTTTTAATAAAAGTTTTTTGCACAGCATCGAAAAGGACAAATATCTCTCTCATCTCGACGCAACGTTGAAATACGATTCCTTCAAAGACGCGGACGTGGTGATTGAGGCGGTGTTCGAGGACATCAATATTAAGCACAAGGTTCTGAAGGAGATCGAAGCCGTAGTGCCGAATCACTGCGTCATCGCGACCAACACGTCCGCGATTCCCATTACGAAGGTCGCTGCTGGTAGCAGCCGTCCTGATAAGGTAAAAAGTTATTTAAATGTTTTATTTCAAGCGTTTAATTACACTAAATTGTTACTTTGATTTTATTAATTTTATATCGAAAATTAAATTACAATAAATATAATTAAATGTGTAAGTCGATGAGCTTCAAGAAACTGTTTTCCACAGGTGATCGGCATGCACTACTTCTCTCCCGTCGACAAGATGCAACTGTTAGAAATTATAACTCACAAAGGAACGTCCGAGGAAACCATCAAGACTGCAGTGGACGTTGGTCTGAAGCAGGGCAAAACTGTCATTACAGTCGGCGATGGTCCCGGATTTTACACCACGAGAATACTTTCCACGATGTTGTCGGAAGCGATTAGATTGCTGCAGGTGTGTAATAATAATTACTTATTACTGAAGTTACTGAAAACTATATTTCTTAAAAATTAAATTTTCTTCCAGTAATTAAAACGAAAAATTATGAAAAGTAAAGAAAACATTAGATTTTATCATCATAATCAATATATTTCCACATTTAACAACGTTCATGTTTTATAATTTAATTATTTTCTATATTGGACATAATTTAATATCCGAATTGCTGGAATGAAATGTTGCAACCGATATAGCTCTCTCGACTTATGTTATCGTGTTGGTTTAATAATTTTCAAATGATTAGATATAATGTGATTTCTTAAACAGGAAGGCGTGGACCCGGTGCAGCTGGACAAGCTGACAAAGAAATTTGGTTTCCCCGTCGGCGCGGCTACTCTGTCCGACGAAGTCGGCATCGACGTAGGTGCTCACATCAGCAGCGACCTCGCCAAAGCTTTCGGCGAACGCTTTAAGGGAGGAAACGTGAACATTCTCGGCGACATGGTCAAAGCTGGCTTCCTCGGTAAACTATTTATAGCTTGGAACAAAATTTTGCCGAATGATTTATTTATATAAACTTATATCAAAGTGTATAAAAACGTGGTGAAACAATATCTTATGAATTATGAAGAATTATATTGTGCTAAAACTTTCAGACTGCATACATGTTTCATGTGAATTTCAGGACGCAAGTCCGGCAAGGGTATATTCGTGTACGAAACCGGGTCCAAGAATAGAGACGTGAATGTCGACGCGTTAGAAATTCTGAAAAAGTATAAACTCGAACCTAAGGGCAGCACGTCCGACGAGGATCGTCAGTTGAGAATGGTCTCGCGGTTTGTTAACGAAGCTGTACTCTGCTTGGAGGAAAATATTCTAGCCAATCCCGTAAGTTAATATACTTCAATATACTTATCTAACGCAAATAATAAATGAGCGCGATAAAAATAAAGTTATAAATAGATAGATGTATCTATCGAGAAGTTAATACTCATTATTATGCAAATGTTGCGTTTGACGTTACAATGGAAAGCTCATTGATTTAATGAAAAATGCGCCATTATTTAAACAATGAATGAATGAAAAACGAATCTGTCTGTTCGAAAAAGTTGTTAAAGTTTTTGACTAAAACTCTTTAAATATTTTAATTATATTTCACATTTATATAGAATTTATTACAAGTCTTTTTGCATTTTAACTGATCCATTTTTTTATTTTTGGGAAAAGACTTGATTATTTTCTAAATATTCTCATATTAATTCGATCATAGAATTGTTGAATTTTTTTCTTGTTACTGAAATGTGAACTGCTTTTCGATTATCACAATTATTTATATTGCGACAAAACTTTTCATTAACTAGTTGGAAGGCGACGTCGGAGCTGTATTCGGCCTGGGTTTCCCGCCATTCACGGGTGGTCCATTCCGCTGGCTGGATGCGTACGGTGCCCATCGACTCGTCAAGAAGATGGAGGAGTTCCGAAGTCACTACGGCGAAACATATAAACCATGCCAGTTGTTGCTCGACGTAGCAGCAGATTCTAAACGAAAATTCCACTCGAAGTAAAAGTTCATAGGAGTCCATCATCGGTAAAATATCTTCACATTGATCGATATTCACCTGAAAGTTATATCTGTTCGCTTCGGGATCGAAAAGCATCTCGAAATAGGTGCAAGGATTAATTCCTTCCATGATCCTGAAGTCCAATTTTGAATTCGCATCTGCTACATCTCGTGAGAGTTGATTTATTTCCAATAATCTGTTTTCTAGTTCTAGAAAGCTTTAAGAATTAATAGTTAGATTATTAAAATAATATCCTCAAATAACTTTTTATTTCCTTTTTGGTTATTAAACTTAAAAAGGCAGGATAAACTTAATTAGTATATTTTTAAATATTTCTTGGATATATTTCGACATATCTATCAGAGAAAAGCTTGAAACTTTTAGATAAAAGTATTAGAGGTCAATGCAGAATTTTCTGCGCAAGTTTATCCGTGCGAGATATAGTAGAATGTGATTTCACATGTGCAAATGAGAGGGGCTGATGCGTGGTCACGCATAATGCGCACTGACGTGACTGTCTATAGTACTATATATATTTTTGGACTTGGGATTTACACAGTCCGTTCAGCGATTTTCCGCGAACATTGTAGATAGATTCGTGCATTTATTATTTTTGAGAGTTTTATACCCCCAAATGTTTGATACTTTTACACGTATATACCATCCTATTGTTAATTAAGCAAAATCATATATATAATGATTGTACATTTATTTTGCAAAATTTAACAGAAATAAAAATTACTATATATTGAATTTATACGCTGTTTTTGAATAACGTTCGAGCGATTCTCTGTCACTTATCAATCTATATTGTCTGTTATAAGCAAATGAAAGCATAATTATGATCTACTTTTTATTTATTAATTTGTAACTTTTTAGTAATTTGATATTTTTCTAATCGATTTATAATTACGACATATGTGGGAATTATTGCGTTTTTACGCTTTATGACACAAACGTATTAATTTTACAAAAAAAGCTAACAAAAACCAGTCCAGTAATTAATATTTTCCTCTGGAATCGCATAAAAAACGTAATATAGAAATGGAAATATTTTGCTTGATGCAACAGTCGAGAAATGTTGCACTCTTGTTTGTGCAGATATCGTGCCTTTCAATCGAGGCCGACAATGAAACAAATAAACTTAAATACATGTTTTACGTTTAATCCTTTCCATTACTTCTAAATTGCAATAATTTCCAGCTCTTTTTTTATTTTACACGACAAAAAAATTAACATTTCCCTCCTTAGGAGTTTTCAGAAAATAATTAGGTCAAATTATTGATCTAATTCTTTGTTGAAAATAATTCTCACAGAGCGCTAATCTAAAGTCTGTTTACTAGAAATGGACGAAAGAAGTGATTATAATCAAATGAAACTATTAATTAAACTGTTAATAAAATAAAACTATTATTATTATTAATAATGACAAGAAATAATGTTAAGGAGAAAATTTTTATTATTATGAATTGTCTCGCGTTACTCTTCATAAAAATCCAATTTTGCATTATGAAGAATTTTTTTGCAACAAACACGTTGAATGTTGAGAATGACAAAATCACGGATAATGACCTCCCTCGGAAACTTCCTTCGCCAAGCAGATTCGCAATTCCGCAAATGTTTGCGTTCTGTCTCGCGGCTTGCGTTCGCAAGCGATTCTTCTGTCACATGAATTTGAATAAAGGCGAATCGAGGGGTAATCGCGAGGATATTTTGCGTCATCTACCGGTCCAGCACACCTGTTTGACATTAGCGATCGCTCAATGAGACCGAGTCCTTGGCTGATGCAAGAAAATCGGAGATTTCGCGAGAAACCATCGTCGCGCCGGTGGTATGCGCGACCGACGACATTGTTACTTTTGTCCGTCCTGTTTCTGGTTCCCGGCTCCGGAAAAGTCCAGAGGTGACTAGAAACACGAAATCACCTTCTGGAAACGTTGTCACTGTATAGAAATTTCACTGAAGACAAATTAATCACAAATCAATTCTAATATTAACGATTGATTCGGCAGAGAAGGGATGATTTTGACACAAAATATGGCAATTCTACTTCAGTGTGTTTATTTGAAAGAAAATCACCGAGAAAATAATCAATTTTCTTATTTCACTGAAACTCTATTGCATTAGAATAGAATCGCTGTACTTTCTATTTAGATCTTTGCACTCCACTCACCGTTTAACCGACAGTATCTTGAACGGAAGTGCAGTTTGTACTATAAAGAATTAATAATATACACTATTTGCACAAAAAAATTAATTACTTAACTAAAAATATTATGTTTTTAATGCCGCAATATACAGAGTGTAACTAAAATAAAGTAGAAATTCCAGTAGCCGGACATTTAAAGAGTTCATCCTTATTGTGAATATTATTTTTTCTATCAAAATAATATTTTTCTCATTTAATAATGAAGAAAGTTAATTTCAAGTAAAAATTAACATTATTAATTGAAAGTTAATTAAATATTTGCAAAAAACATTGGAGATATGCACATATACTAGTGTTCTGATATAACGTAGAATACACGCAAAGGATACTTTTCAGGAAGAAAAGTTCAGAAATTGGTTACTAAAATTCCTCTTCCATAGAAAGAACCGTCCTTATCTGAAGAAAATATTTATTGCGTATTTTCTACAGTTTTATCTATCACATAATTACAGCCTGTATTTGTATCTCACGTCACGATATCAATTATCAAATACATCTCAATAATCGTTTGCGATAACATCGTCTTGCTGAAGTGAAGCGTATAGTTTAGATGACACACATGAGAGTCGCAACTTGTGATAACGCGTATCTCGTAGAAATTCAGTAGCGTTTGCAAGAGATACACGCGCCGATCGTACGCGAGACATGCTGGCTTGATTCTTGCATTTCCAGATAATCTGTGATATCTCTCTTTTATTCAAGCACAGAGGATTTGAGAAATGAAATCGGCAGCGACGAAAGTATTTAGAGTAGAATACGAGATAGGATTCCCAAAGAGAGCACTTTGTTTCTGAAAAATATATCCAGCGTAAAATTATTTTATCATTTAACCTATATTTTTTGCAAAATATTTCGTTAAATTTCGCCAGCGATTGTAAAATTCTTGGAATTGTTTGTGCAAGCCGTTTTATGTAACTCGGTATTTCGACTCGGTCTACTTGTACTTTTAAAATTTCCTAAACGCGCGTTCGCGTCAGCGTGCAAAATAAATCGTTGCCAATATAATATGAATTTCACCTGCGATGGGAAATTTCGCGGGTGGGATTTTATCAATGTCGGTGACCTCGCGAGGCACGTCTGGCGATATGATTGTTTCGCTACAACGACGACCGCGCTAAATTGCGATAACGTGCGCGATCGCGCGATTACGATTTTGTAATTTGCGTCAACGCGTGCCCTCGGCTATCCGTTGCCATGTAGCTTTGCAACGTCAGCCATCAAATGTTTGCGGAACATGCATTTACGTAGATTTGTATTAATTTAATACGTATTTTTATTAAACATATTAGATTTTTTTTTAATACCGTGCATAAATATAAATATACAAATAACTACGGAATTAAGATAAAACTTTCGTTGCGATTGCCTAACCGAAATCGGCACTTCAAAAACGCGTGTGATTAAACACTTGATTGATTGTTATCGATAAAAGATGATATCGCAAATGTCTAAGCATTCAGACACGGACGTGAGACGCGTGATGGAAATTTTGCATAAAATAATTCGAATTGTTTAACGAGAAATCGCTCTGTTTTACATTCGCGTTAAATATGAAAGACATTATTATCTCATCGTGAGATCTATCGGCCTGATATTAAAACTCTTATCTTTAAGCTTATCAAATTTTACCTTCAGAATGTTGGCTAGCAGAAAATGATTTGCAGAATTTGCGGAATCAGTCGCACATATTTTTTGACATTTTCTCTTTTAATGTCATAGCTCGATATGACTGATGTAGATAATCTCCAATCTCTCTAATAAATTTTATTGTTAAATTAAACAATAATGGAATAAATGATAAATAAATAAAATAAAATTATAAAATTATAAAATTGTAAAATTATAAAAAAATAGTTGTTAATTCGTAAAACTTCAACAGAATTGCGTGATTGTTTTGCAAAAAGTGTGATATCATAATTAAAAATATATGATATCAGAGTGATCTACTCACTAATCTACATTTTGTTGCTAATTCATCAACTAACATGTATTTTCGTAATATTAATGCTAATGAAGATGCACTCAATATTCGAATCCATTATGTATGAATATCAAAAGCTAAAAACGTTTAAAAAAAAAAAGATTTTTTTTATGTATCTTATACGAGTTTTTGCGCTAATATTTTTCACGCAGTTTCTTGCCAAATATTTTACAAGGCATAGAATCTGTGCAGTGTTTAAATTACGTGCTGCCGTTTCGCAGAAGCCGATTGCTTCTTATCGGCTCCACGAACCTGAATCGAACATCAGATGTTCACGTGGATCCACGCGTCCATGAATTACACGAGCATCTCGCGACGCGACGTCATCGATTTTTTTTATCATACGTGTATGTACGTATATGTGTGGTTCGCACAAGAATCGTCTTACCCTTCGTTATCACCGGTCATCGGCGAGCCCGCGGCGACCTTTCGTACGAAATTTAACTCCATTCATCCGTCGCGACTAGAAATTCTAGATATGATTTTTATCAAAAAATAACCTTGCGATTCTGTCTCAAAAATTTTCAGAATAATTTTTCGAGCATTTCTTTGCCTTTGAAACTTGTGCGCAATTTTTGGAGTTTTAGCTTCGCGTGAAGTTAAATTATTTTCATTATTGCGTTAAGTTTTATTCTGCGAATATCGAGTGCCTTTTTTTTTCATTAAAATCCAACTTTGCTAAAACGATAATAATGCGTTTAACAAAGGACGTGGTGAAAGGAAGGGCGGCAGGGAAGAGAACACGCTCGTAATAATAATTTACGAAAGTATACAATTTATTTAATCGTAGAAAAATCTTTAACGATACATCAAAGTCTTATGACGCCGAATGAAGCTTCTTCATCCGACCGTGGTACATAAACATATAAATATGTACATAACTTTTGGGGGCGGTGCAGATATATTTTACAAATTACCAACAATCGTGCGGACGCGATATAGAAAACGTTAAATAAACTCTGGAAGAAGAAAAAAAATAATATCGCGAGTAACGAAGGAGCGTAGAAAAATAGTGATTTGCATTATAATGCGTTGGCATCGACAGAGATATCAATGACGAAACCTCCATAATTTTGCATCCGTTGCGCCCGCCCCGGCATTATTAAATATGTACGTTCAATCGTCGCGATTTTAGAAACCTATATACAACTTGTTATATACATAAGTCGTAAGATTATTCTTCATAAATAAATATTTTTTCCTCCCCTTCTGCGGTTGGTGCGCTTGAATTTGGTGTAAGCTTGAGAGCGCTACTTATCGATAATACGCCGAACAATGCAAAAATCTAAAAAAAAAAAGAATAGCCAACAAAATTATGCAATGTTTTCTTCGCGACATTTCTTAGATTTTTGTATTATCCGCAAAGTGTATCTCCGACCAGCGAAGAACCGAATAGTTTGAAATGGTGCCCTTGGAAATGCAGAATATCCGTTTCCATGTCTCGCGTTGAACGCGACTATCCGATATCGGAGTTCGATTTCTTTAACACGGCGATCACGTTGCATGAACGCTCCGCGCCGAAGAATGCACGAGGTCACGTTTGGCGCTGAACGCGCGCTACAAACACGGACCCGCGCCAAGCAGCTCTCGAGACGGCAAAGCTCTCGTACTAAAACGGTACCACTAGCCTTCACGTGTCACAGATCACAGCTCGCACTTAGGTACTCGATTTGCGGACGGCGAGTCGAGGACCTCTGCACGACGGCGCCTCCGTGTCTCCGCTTCGTCTCTTTAAGTACGGACTCTTCGTCCCCGCTCATCTTCCATAATCCGGCAATCCCATTTTGAAACCATCGAATCCTCTTCACAAACACCCGGATTAATCCTTTACCGTCGTCGTTCGTCCTTTCAGTACCGCTTCATCGGCAAAGACCACGTCATATCGCATTTGATCGAATCATCCTGGTCTTTTTGTTCAGACGATACTCTTCGTCTCCAGCTCGTCACATGCCGGGAGCGATCCAGCATTCTGATTAAGGCACACACGCGAATACATCAGCGTGTACAAGTTCTTTCGGCGACGCCATCGGTCGCGATCGCGATCCTTCAAGCCGCCAGCTGCGGCGGCACCAGTTGCTGGACCGGTCGCGGCAATCGCGGCGCCAGCACCGGCAAGAGGCTCACTCTCAGAGGCACCGAGGCCACGTGGGAGGCGGCGATCGGACTGTTGCAGGCGGACGACGCGGATGACTTATCTCTGGCGTGGCGCTTCACGTGCTTCGCCAGGTGATCGCTACGCATGAATCGCCTTTGGCAGACGGCGCAAGCGAACTTCTTCTCGCCGGTGTGTGTGCGTTTATGCCGCGACAGCTCGTCGCTGCGCGAGAAGCGGCGGCTGCAGTCCTCGTAAGGGCACGGGAACGGCCGCTCGCCGGTGTGAGTGCGAGTGTGCGCCTTCAGGTGCGACGACTTGAAGTAGTTCTTGCCGCAGCCGGGATGCTCGCACTCGTAGACGCGACGACGCGTCTCCGTCGCCGTGCTCGTTGTGGTCGTCGCGGTGGCCGTCGTCGGCGTCGCGCTGGCGACCAGCAGAAGAGGTGTCCGTGGTAAGACCAAGCCCGTCACCACAATAGGTGCCGGTTTCGGCGCCAGAGGTTGTAATCTCGGTAACTGTTGCTGTTGCTGCTGCTGCTGCTGCTGCTGCTGCTGCTGATAGATCTCACGGTCGGTGTTCTTGCTGTTTACGATGATCTGCTCCTTGCGTAGGCTCATTTTGAACTTCAGGTTGCGCAACACGTCCTCCACCGGACGCTCCGTCGCGTTCGCTCGCGCGTTCACGCGTGGACTGGACGGCGGTCGCGCGGGCGAGTCGTACGGCACCGCCGGCTGGCCGCTGCTCGTAAGACTCGACGCGAAATTAGCCGGACTGCAAGTGCCGTCCCGATTGGCGCGCATTATCACTGAGACCCGGGCTGGTTCCGGACTTGGTGGCGGCGTGCCGTCTAGCAACAGCTGAAAACGAGAACAATTTTTTTATGAAATAAAATTCGCGAAAACAACATTGTTATCTATTTGTAGGCATAGCGAAGGGGAAATATTGTCGTGTCCGATATAAAAAATAAAGTTATCGTTCGCTCGAAAAAATGTCGAATTATTTTAACATCTGATAGAAAAATAAAAATTGTTTATTCGGAGGAATGCGGAAATATTTCAATATTGATATAAAAATAGGAATTGTTGTGCATCCGGAAATATAAGAAAATATTTTACTAATCGATGTAATAAAATTTGTAATCTATTCGAAAGAATGTGAAAGTAAATAGAAAACAATTTTTTCAATCATATTATGATGCATTATATAACAAGCAACCAGGAAGAAACAATTTACAGTTATTCCAGAATGTCATCAATTTATTCGTCACCGAAAGTACCGTCGAAAGGTATACTCGAGGGATAAAGAAAAAGTAAAAAATTCCAAGTAAACGAAACGGAGCGCGCTCAGACGGAGTCGTGTCACAACAACTCTGAATTCGACTCTCCGTTCCAGTCGATTAAAGTGAAGAGAAATCGATGGGAAGTTGAGAGAAGAAAGGAGGAGAGATATTAGAAAGCACACGGCGTGTGCTTTGTCTGCCTATAAATCTATCTGCTTTACTTACCTTCGCCAGCTCGCATTGCTCGACGCATCGCCGCTTTTGCGGCGGCTCGTCCTCCTCTGAATCGGAGGGTTGGGGGGTGGGCGGTAGCATGGGGTGGGAGCCTGCGTTCTCCTCGTCTTTCCGTTTGTTTTTCACCGACTGACCCCCTGAGAGCTTCTCCCCCAGCAAGGCCGCGACGCTGAACGACAACTGCAACGGTTCTATCTGTAGGACAAAGGAAGGCATGAGTATTGCACAACCACCTCGCTAATAAAAGGGGTTTGCCACGTAATCGCCCCTTGGATGAAATTATTCAGTCCGAGACACGGATAAGAGATTAAAGAGTATTCCAGAAATAAACAATATTCCGGCACAGACTAAAATATTACTGCAATCAGCAGACAAACATAAGATAACACATTAATTATTTGTTAAATAACTACTGACAATAAATGCTTTTAAGAGCATTCAGATTTTTTTAGCTAATAATAAATAAATCGCCACTTCTAGTATCTTTTATCAATAAGCCTTTTTTATTGATTAGATTTTTATATCTTCTTTCTCCTGTTACATTTTATATTATATTTCATTATATCTTAATCTCTTCTCCACGCAAAAATTATCAGGAACGCTTTCAAAGAATGCCAACAATCTTTTCAACAATCATCGAACCAAGAATTTATATTCTATCTTATTCAAAATAGACTTCAAAATAGAATTTTTAATTTAAGTTATCCACATTATTAATGCTAAAATCAGAAAAATTAAAATTTAATTTCTTATTAAAAAAATTTTTTCGAGAAATATCATGCAATAAAACTTGTCAATTTTATAAATAATCATCGTAAGAAAAAAATTATTTTGCTACATCGATTATCAAAGAATTTCTTTTTTATGAACTCAAAATACCGAAATTTTAATTAAATGATAAATTATCTAGATTATCAATAAAATATTAAAACAATTAAAATCAAATTTCTAATTGAAAAATTGATTCAAGAAATATCATGCAACAAAACTTATATTATCCCCGATATCGGAAGTGAAAAGCTATTTGTGTCACAAAAAAAACGATTGATCATAATGAGGATGATGCACCAGCGACAAGCTTCCCAACATTTCTCGAAAGAGAATTCGTGCAAAAACGTTTGAGTTTCGCGGGCGATGACGGGCGACGGTGTTGTGGCGGTATATTTAATTCACTGCCACTTACGTGTTTAAGCTGGGGCGAGGCCGGCGGCGAAAGAGGTGCCTGGTTCGTGTCCATATTCGCGTAGGATGAGGCACCCGTGACACGGGGGCGGCTCAGGAAAAGAAAAAGTCGAAATCCGAAGTCGACGACAAAAAAAAAAAAAGAAGAATCAAGTACACACGCCGAGCCCTCCTCGGCAAAAGTGGAGCGACGAGTCCGTAATGTAACCGGGCGGGCGTCTCGCGGCGCAATGAAGCTTTCTCAGGTCTGTGCTAGCTCCAGGACGCGCCGACCCCACGGCCCACTGTGTGGTGTGCGTGATCACGCAGCGCGCGCGGGCGCGGCCAATCCCGGCGAGGGGCTCGCCGTCGGTCCGCGAATCAGGACAGCACAGTCAGCCGACGACCGCGTGATCGCAGGCGTGCTGTTCACGTGCTCCCGCACTGACTCGGGACGTGATCGTGACGTCAGCGCGCGTGGCGAACGCGGTCGATACGTCATGCCGTCACGGCGCGCCCCGAGCGTCATGCAACCTCCACCCTCTTCTCTCCTCTTCGCTCCCTAATGTAGTACGACGATGAGTTTCGCTCTGTCGAGCCTTCGGGAATCGTCTCTTTCTCTCTTTGTTCGCGCATCGCGAACGGCCTCGTCTTCTCTTTGTAGATTTCGCCTCGTTCTCCACTGTAAACTCACTTCTCCTTCTCTGTCTTGTTTGTTTGTTCCTTCTCTCAATTCCGTCTCTCTTTCTCCCTCTGTTTCTCACTCCATGTGGACGCAATGACCTGTGTTTTAGAAGTTGCATTATTTTGCATATTTTATTCCTTTATTTTATTATATTCGTAATAATAACAAGGGTATGAATTTTATAGAATATTACAAATGTTGCTTTCATCATCAACATCAAATTTCTCTAACAGTACGATTGCATAATTTCATTAAATTTATGAGGTGTAATTTCAGAGCGCAAGTTTTTTGGCCTTTATAGTCGTTCTCTGTTTACGTTTTATTTGGACTTTTAAAAAAGCGTAAACAGTAAACAATGGAAAAAAATCGATCAGATGCGTGAGACTAAGCCGATGATCGGAATGATGATCAGTCGTTTGTTTATTGCTTACCGCTCAGATTTTTTCACGTTCCGTTTTTCCCAATGACTTTTACGCATGACTGACACACCCGCATCCGGAGTAACCGGCTGTGCGTCGACGCCAGAAGGAGCCCGCACGAGCCCCCAAATTGATGATTCGCAGAAGCGGTTGATGCCTCGAGGCGAATGGCATAGTGACACTTTGTTCTGCCAGTCTCGTAGTGGCGAAACAACAACACGTCGAGAAAACGAGTGCTGAAATATGTCTTGCATTCGAAATGCTGCCATTAAGAACGTTTAAACGCCAGTTGACGGAGATGGCTTATGTAAAAACTTCTCGGGAGCCTTTTTAAAAATCCGGCCAGATAAGGCTGAAACAAAAATAGAAGAAAAGTAAGACGAGAAGAAAAAAAAAGATTAAGAGCTTAACGCCTTGAAAAGTTACACTCTTCGATTTATATCAGGAAATTATATCAAGAAGTTATAAAACATGCGTGTAATAATTCTACAAAATTCCAAGTATGATCGTGATACTCTGATTCCAATATCTTTTCCGGCATTGATAATCAATTAATTTGTTTTTAGGAAAACAAAGATGAAAAAAAAAAACGATTTGCCAAAGATAGTGCGATTGGTGGCCGAACAATGAAACGCAGCTGTATGACAAGCTGTGATTAATCACTTCACCGAATATTATCTTTGTCCTTCTCAATCGCGTCTTCGACAACAAATTCGACGTATTCGACGTATGGACGACGTGCTACAGCTAGGCTCTCTTGCGCTGATTACACCGGATATGTTCGATAACCGGCCAGTGCAATCGACAGATTTTTTCTTGCGAGATAAATTTTGATATGTGCAAAACATCATCTGCCCGAAAACAGTTCTATTGAAATCACGGCAAAACTTCATGACAAAAATATGCAACTTATACACAAATAGAAATTTTAGAATTATATGTATATCGATAACGGAATAGCACGATCTTTTTTTTTCTTCTCTTTCTCCGTCTAATATTTGAATATACACTTGTTTTAAACGAAATGGAAACGCAGTTGCAAACAATGGCCTCTACTGCTTTTCCTTTCAGAGATTTTAATAAGAAATAAAGATTGATAAACTTTGTAACATTGATAGACTCTCAATCTTTGTGGCATTATTGAGAATAAACCCGATTGATAATTGAATGACTAAGTTTGAAAATTGAAAGAGATTCTTCCGACGAGGAAGTGACAACGAACGATTCCTCGGGAAATTAAATACACCGACCGCCTACTTTGCGAGCTGGTTAATTCAATTCATTCGCTCACTCAAGTTTGTTTTCAATACAGCTGCTGGAGGCAATGGTTTAATTGGGCTGCAATTGCGCGTCTGAATTCGGCGAATGCGATTTGCTTGCGAGTAAATTGGATGAATGGTAAACAAAGTTATGTTCCAGAATGCGCTTTTGTAAATAAGAGGAATCTTTGTACTCTCGTATTTTAAATGCAAGCAAATGTGTCCGCATTCGCTGTGAAGCAATGTCTATTTCTATGCAGACTTGTCTAATGTAGCAAACAATTTTTGTTATTCATAGAATTTTGCAAGAATTCCAGTCGAGCATACATAAAGGATTTGCCAGCTACAATTATTATAGAATTTTATAAAAGCTCAAGATTATATATCGAATTCGCCAAAAGCGCAATTACTCACCGTGTTTACAAAAATGTGGGCGATTATTGCAAACCGAGTGCGCATCAGCACGCTTGATTAACGCTTTTGCATCATCTTTTTCGGAGACGATGGCGCGCAATATCACATAGAGTAATGCGGCGTAAGACGAGCGCTCATTCCAAAATAAGCCCGTTCGTTTATTTCTGGTATCCCGTATCTCGTCGGCTATTTATCATTGCGTCTCTCTCGGAGACAACGCGCGGCGCCCGCGAGTCAGCCGCCAGGCTCGTGATCGCCGATCGTGGCTTCCTCCGCTTCGTACCGCTATCAGCCCGAGTTAACGCCGACGCGCAAAAGTGTCGTTGATCTTGTTTTGAAGGCGGAGTATCAGGCAGCGAGCGACGCACAAGTGTCCTTATAATTGCCGAAACGTCTGTAAAGAATCCAGATGTGCTATTATTTGCCGGGACGCGCGGAAAAATTTCGAGATCGAATGCCAATTGAAACCGAAAAAAGACTCCGCGCCGTATTGCCTTATCGCGAAACATTAATGAATGATGTAATGTGTCGTTGTCGCATATAAATATGAAAGGCATTTTTGCGCGAGTATCAAGACTGAAATTCAAGCGAGACAGAGATCGGCGTCTTTTCGATTTCGAAATAATTGATCTCGCAATCGGGCGGAAATTTAGCTTTCAAAAGCACGAAAGCACGCGTGTTTCATCGAGAAGTCAGTAGCTGCACGCGTAGTTTCCGTTGACGCGATAAATAATTTACAAGATTGTTGCTCCTCGGGCGTGACGCAAATATCACGAACGACAATCGAAGGTGAATCGCACACGAGTCGGAGCGACGATTTTTAGGGTCGGCTCGATAGGGGTAATCAATGAATCATACATAAACGTGTCAGTGGGTCAGCATAGCTGGGATTCGCGTCCACGATAAAACCGAAATCGTACGCAACAACGCGAAGATAAAAATAAAAGCCGAATTCAAATGTTTACGTCGATTCTCTGAGCGCTATTTTTCTTAATAATAAATGTTTTATAAATGTTTAAAACTAATATTTCCGCTATTTGTCATTAGCATATAATTACAACGCAGCTTAACGATCAGCGTTTACTCCAAGAATTTCGCATTGGAAATTCAGCTTCCACGAAGCAGTGGAAGTTTATACTACACCGTTCACTGTTTTGTAAGCGTTGCGAGTGCGATGACGAAACGGTCTATCGGAGCCCTTCACGAAGCAGCAACGCTACAATGTTGACCGCGTTTAAAGCGCATAGAGTACGCAGCTTGTTAAGCGCTTGTTATTTTTATCGCTTTTTTTACGCTTGCTGTATGCGAAATAAGGCGAATTAATGCATATTTAGATTGGTTGAAAAAAGATGGAGGTAAAAAACCTATAAAAACTATAACCTATAAGAAATCTAATTCGAAGAGAAATGTTGAATTTAACTTGCATTTTTTACCTTTTCCTACTGCTCGTCTATAAAAAATCCAAAATGAATACAGTCGATATATTGGCGTTAAAAATCAAAATTTTAACATGTTTATATTATTATTAATGTACACTGAAAAAGGCCTGATGGCAGGCTGAAACATTTGATTTGATGTAAACAATTTTAACGAATATATCTTAACCTTCGCACGAAGAACTAGCATTGTGGCTCTTTACGCTCCTATTGATTTTAATTGATTTTAGTAATTAGTAGAGCCTTATATATCATTAATTTTAACATGTTGCTTCTCGCATTGCTTCCATACTTCCTGTCACTTCCTGTTGAATGTTTCGTTCGTGAATTAATGTGAAGTAGGCTATTTGTAGCGTACACGAATAGTAGTAATGGGAATTATTTTATGCAACCGGTCGATAACAAATCGACTATCGATATTGTTGATTTCTACGTTATTGATTACCGTAAAAATAGATTTCTCTTTTTCAGAAAATACTTGTTTCAACTTTGAAGCTATTTTCCTTTTAGAGAAATTCTCTTATCTTAGATTTATTCTATTCTCGTTCCTCTTTTGACAGAAATTAATAGAAGAAATATGTGAAATAAACAATTCAAAAAAATATATCAATACTTTTAGTAAAACTTGAATTATAATCATAAATTATTTCATTTACAGGAAATTATCTATATCTACGTATACATGTGTTATGTCACTTCAAGTGTAGAAAGTGTAGGAAGCATTTTTTGTTGTGCGTAAGATAACGGACGCATGACACGTGAACATGAATTAAATTCCAAAGTGCATCTGAGTTTTTCACTTCTTTTAATAATCGTGTCACAAGTGAACAAACCGAACAAAATAATTATGACTCGCTTGACGAGTCTACCACCAATAGCCAGGTTGTCTAGCAGGGTAATTCGAATTATGGGCTGTAATCCTGGACCGATGACACTGCAAGGCACAAACACTTACCTCGTTGGCACAGGACGCAGGTGACAAACATCAACTATATTAATGACTAAGCAACTTTAACGTTTCTTGCGTACTGGCTGGTGCTTTTTGATATATTTTATTCTGTCAAGAAAAAATATTATATCTAATCAATTTTATCAATTAAACGTATCGAAATCTGCGATATTTTAGGTTAAAAATCATGTCAATCGTAATGATGAAATAGATGAATAAATTTTGAAATTTGTTGTTGGTTTACCTAGTTTTCAAAAGTAAGGGCATTTTGTTATATGGAAAAGGAAGCAATCTTGAATAAAACTGTCGCTATCATATTCTAGGATATTCAAAAACCACATAAAATTCATAAAGCTTCTTTTAGGTTAGACAGTTGCTTTCGCACTACAGCGCACGCGTACGTTAATGAATAACGCGGCATTTCTCAAACACCAAAAATCAGTAACAAAATATCTTTTCTTCATTATAAAGAAAAAGGTATTTTCTCTTGACAAATAATACGGTAGAAAATATTTTGTTAAAATATTATAATAATTTTATATATTATATACACCATACTCATATATTATATGCATATACATCGCTTAGTGTGTTTGAAAAACTACAAATATGCATTTTACAAATTTACTTTTCTAAATAAATAAGTTATTCATTATTGCAGACGTGTGCTGGTCGATTCGACAGAAGCTAAGACAGCCGAAGCTTACATAAAGCTCCTGGAAAATGTGTTGACCGAGGAGAACGCGGCAATCGAGCACTTGGTGGTGACACATTGGCATCACGACCACATCGGCGGCGTCAAACCCATACAGAATTTGTTGAAGAATCTATTTCCTGCAGACGAACAGCCGACCGTGTGGAAACTGCCACGTTCGCCAAACGATGACACATCGGACGATGAGAAGTCCATCCAGTGGAAGCCTCTAAAGGACGACCAGATAGTGGAAGTCGAAGGAGCGAAACTCCAAGTAAAATACACGCCCGGACACACCAGCGATCACATCTGTCTGCTACTGCAAGATGAGAATATTTTGTTCAGCGGCGATTGTATTCTTGGGGAGGGCACGACGGTCTTCGAGGATCTTTACGATTACATGATGTCCCTCGACAAGATCCTGAAAATCCAGCCGAAAATGATATATCCGGGCCACGGTCCGGTTGTGGACAATCCCGAGCAGCGTATACATTATTATATCAAGCACAGGCAACAGAGGGAGAATGATATTCTGAAGATGCTGGAAGAGGAAGAAAATAGTAAACCGATGACGGAGATGGATATCGTCAAGCGGATGTACAAAGTACATATTAAAAGTTTTATATAATATTAACTAAAATTAAGGAACATGCACTTGTCGAGTTGTTGTTTTAGTGTCAAATCGTTTAAAATGACATTTTTTATAAATAATTTTTTTTTTAAATTGAAATAAAGAAAAAAATAATTTTTGTAGGATACTCCAGAAAAACTGTGGCTATTTGCAGCGTTTACTGTAGGACTTCACCTTCGCAAGCTGCAGAAAGAGGGGAAAGTGTCGCAAGAAGTAGAAGGTGGCTGGTGGAGGGTTAAAAATAAAATATAAATATATGCAATATAGCACAAATATTTAGAAAATTTGATTAATATTTATAGAACTAAAGATCTAATTTTAATCAATTATTTACAAAGTTATATTTTTCATTAATTAATGATTCTCAAAGGTAGATTTGAGAAATGGATCTAAAAATTCTAATTTAATATTTGTAAATAAAGAATTTTGTATCCCGAAAAAAACTTTGTGTGTAAAAGTTAATCTGCTAAAATTGAAATTTTCACGTATAATATTTTGAATATTCTTAAACTTCCACTTAAGCTGAAATTAAGAACGAGATTAAACACGAGTTTAATATTTAGATAATTGAAAAGGTAGAGAAACTGGGAAAAGTCCGTAAAATTAATTACGCGCGCGGATATTTGTGAAACTGATTTATTCAACGCACAAGAGTAAATAATGATACATTGTTACGAATTTCTGTCGAAGTTAGGCTGATAGCTGTTATCATTGATGTGCGTACAGCGAGAAGAGTACACAAGTTTACGACAATTTCAGGTAGTACATATCGCAAGTGGTACACAAGCTATTTTTCCTGTTTAGGCGAACCATTAGTCATCGCGTGCGATTACGGACACATTACAACGGTCAATATAAAATATATATATATATATATGTGTGTATGTAATGTATGTATATGCATGTATATACTTGGCTACAAAGACATGTCGCAACAATAAGTTTCGTTATATTTTTCATTATAAAATTCTCTCTCTCTCTCTCTCTGATTCTCCTACTAGCTACGTAATCTTGGCGAATATTAGCACCTCTCGTCTTGAACATGCGGGAAACTACCCCGAAAAATTCGATGTCACGATATACGTACACGGGCTATCGCTAAAGTGCGAAGGGTTGAGAATTTATAGAGAGTCGATGATTTTTAACTTTCCAGCATGTACGAATCAAGGAAATCCAAGGAAAACCTCCGTCTACTTTATTCGGCAATCTAAAAAAATCTAAAAATTTTGTGGGCGACGCTTTCAGAATTTTTAAAAATCTGAAGAGACATTCGTCAGTGTTGGAGATTTGGAAAATCGGAAGATTTTATCAAATATCCAAGAATTTTCAAAGGAAAGTGTAACAGGTTTCAAAAAGAATTTCGTGATGCACTTTAGTTATATCCGGCATTCAGTAATTATACGGATATATATCTTTAATAAGCTCACTTTGTTACTTAGTTCGCCCACTTACTCTCTCTTTGGATAAACGTAAAAATATATATTTTATATATATTTATATGTACGATGTCAACATACAACATAATTTCTTGTGTTCTCTCCTTCTCTCTCTCTTTCTCTCTCTCACTCACTCACTCACTCTCACTCACTCTCTCTCTCACTTTCATTCACTGTCATTTTTATTCCTCTGTCAACTAATGATAACATTAACGCAATCACATTAATTCTATCATTATTATCCATATACTAAATAACAAAAGAGGAAAAAACAAAAAAGAAGACTTTAATCGTCGAACAATATACATATTCTATACATATATACGAAATATATACTTCAGACATGTGGAAACCACAGCGACGAGATGATCCATTTTTTCGCAACGAAATCAAATCGATAATAATTACAACAATGCAATCGATAATTCGTACATTTACACACACGCTTCCACTCATTCCGCCACTTCTTTCCATCTATTTTTTTTTTTTTTTGCAAGAACAAGAAGTAGAAGATTCCAAGATTCGAGAAACTTGGTAGGCTTCTATTTTGTATCGTCTTTCTCAATTGACTTTCCAAGTTTCATATTAAAATTGATATTAAACTATTGAGTAATTAACTATTGAGTAACCTTGAAACATCGCCATCTAAAATAATATTGAATATTAATTTTTGAAGCGTGTGACGCGATTAATTATGCAATTTAAATTAACTTAATTTAATTTAACTTAATTTAAATCATAATTAAAGTTCTATAAGTAAAAGAGGAGGTCAGGATAAATCAATATAGAATTCAAGATAGTTCGCGATGCGAAAAGGCACCCAGTTGAGGAGACAATCGTCGAAGACTAATAGTGAATCGTCATAACTCCGGGGAAATAGAAAATACACGGGGAAAGAAGAAGTGAAAGAGAAGAACATCTGAATTGTCGCGCCTTCTCGTGCGCCCGTCTTATACTTAAATGTTAATAGTTCTCGTAGCGAGATGTTGCTGTGAACGTTACGGCGTTTCACCTCTACGAATCACGATCCAGAAGCACGTTCGAAAACTTTGAGTTGTTGAGAATAGAAATAGAAAATTTGATATCTTACAAATTCGGATTCTAAAAACTGCGAAGTCAGATATCAGAAATCAAACAAAATTCTAAATCAAGAATCTGACGACTTAATAACATCAATTGAAAACCTTAAAATTTAAAAAGTAAACATGAGAATTCAGAACTTAAAAGTTGACAGATGTTTAAGATAAGATTTAGAAAAAAAAACAAAATTTAGATCGGTATAATGTTTATGTAGCATATGAAAAATCAAAGAGTATAAATACTGAAACTCTTAAAACCTGCACGCGCTAAGCCGCAAAGTTAACGAAGTGCTTCTTCTTCTATAAAAGTGACATCGCATTGTGTTGAATGTGGCACAGAATCATCAGTATCGAGTCAGTGATGACTTTGGGTAAAGATTGATTCTGAATAGTAACGAATCCAGACAACACGAAAGATTAAGAAAATTGATATATATATATATAATATAATCATTGAAAAAACGTTCAATAGTTAACACGTTTTTGAATTTTTATGTCCCACATTTGGCTAATCGCGACTCTAAGCTCGACGCAGTATCGTTCTCGAGGCACGATGAGCGAAATTTAAAAACTGGACGGCTGTAGATGCGCGACACTAAATATGGGACACAAAGGGAACTCCGGACTTGCGCTTGTCGCTTTCAGAGAAAGAATATCGTTCACGCGAGGGAACGCGGGCAGTACTACAAGAGAAATCCACTTTGTGGCAGCTGTTCGAAACAACTGGGATTGATGTAACTCAAAAGGTCATGTTCCGACATGGAAGTGAGCTCTTGAGGTAGCATGCCGTCCTCCGGCTTCCTACCGGCCGCGGTGCTCGCGGCGGGATTGGGAAGCGGCGCGGTCACAGCCTGGCGATTCGGCGTGACCGGAAGCGCGACCGGCGGTGACTTGCTGGCGACCTGCTCGACAATGTTATTCGACGCCGACGGCGACTTCGGCAGAATCCCTTCCATCGCATTGTTCATCAATTGCGCGCTCTGAGTCGCCACACTATTCAGGATGTTCTTCGTGGCGATAATCGCGTGAGCGGTGGTCGTCGTGATCGGTCGATTGTTGATGATGTCCTTTGTGGCGTTGGTGATGACGTTGTTAATCGCCTGCTCGGCCGCGTTTGTCAGACGCTGCTGCGACGGTTCCTGAGCAGCTCCGCTGGCCAAGGCGGAACTAGCTTCGGCTACGAAGCCCGCGGGCTGGTTTAGCATGGAGCCGATGTCTTGCTGAACCGCCTGCTGCATGGCTTGAGCTGCTTGTGCCTGCTGCACAGCTTGCTGCACAGCTTGGACCTGCGACATTTTTTTTATTAAGCAAGCTTATTTAAATCTTGTCAAAGTTAAAAAGAATCATACTCTTGAATCCGCGGAAAATTCGAGTTCACGAAGTTTAGAAATCTAAAAACTTGGAAGTTAAAAACTCGAAGACTGGAAAATTTAAAAGTTTACAAAATCGCGATCTATTTCTCACGCGATAAATTAAGAAGATGGATAATTATGTTGCTACACCGACCTGTTGCACCACTTCTTGCGTCGCTTGTTGCACCGCTTGTTGCACCACCACCTCAGTCGCCTGGACCGCTCGCTGCATGCTCACGTGTACCTGCTGCGCCTGCTGTACGGCCTGCACTTGCTGCACGGCTTGCTGTACTACTTGGGCGTGTTGCACCACTTGCTGGACCACTTGTTGCTGGGCCTGTTGCACCGCTTGAACCGCCTGTTGCTGCGCTTGCGCAACGACTTGCTCGACTTGCTGCTGTGCCTGTGCCACCACTTGCTCCACCTGCTGTACCTGCTGCTGCATCGCGACCACATCTTGCTGTGTGAGCGCCTGAATTTGCTGCTGCATGTGCTCCGCCGCGCCTGCCGCGTTAGCAGCAACCTGAAGATCAGAGGGAAAAATCTGTTTTTGCAAAAAGAATTTTAAAATCCCAGTTTGAGAGTCCAATTTTTTTTATTCAATCTTTTCTCAATGTTCTAAAAAAATAAGCAACACTTACCGTAGCGTTCGACGTGGTGGTCGCCGCGTTGACCTGCGCTTCCGGCAACTGCAGAGCTGCATTGATAGTAGTCAGTAGACTCTCTCCCGTCTGTTCCACTGTCGTCGCGGACGATACCGACGCTGCGCCCGCGGCTGTCGCCAGCGGCTGCACATTCTGCGCAGGAATTAGCGCCTCCAGCAGCATCGTCTTCACTGGTATCGGCGGACTGGTCCTGGTCTGCTGGCCGCTGCCGATCGCCTCGTGCTCTGCTAACAATGCAGCGGAATTCTGATTCACCGTACGCAACGGGGAGACCATCTGCTCAGCCGCGGAATTTACTAAGGCGTCAAGTTTCACTAAAGTTTGCTCTGAAAAATATCAATCCGTATATTGATATTTTAAATTATTCTCTCCAATTTGCTTTCGCGTACAGACACGACGTACCTGCGTTGGACAGAATTCCAGGAGAGGTCGCCGACTGCTGGCCGCCTGCCGAGATAATGGAAGTCCGTTGCTGAATGGCGAATTCGTTCTCCGGGCTATCGGGCTCCTCGTTAGTGGCCACCGAGGATTCTATATGATTCAGGTACTTCTCCACTACGTGACTGCTCGGCGCTGACATTGATTGAGATCCGGAAGCGCCGGTGAAACTCGATAGCGTGCCAAAGTCGGGCTGATGGTGGTGGTGTTTCATGCGAAGGTCCACCACACCGGCGCCCTGAAGGGCGGCTCCATTGGAACTGTTTTCCGTCGGCAGAACACTGCTAGTGTCCTTGAGATGATGAGGACTCAGAACTTGAACCTGGGCCGATTCGTGCATGCCTGCAATTGAAAAATGTTCGCTTTAACTTGAGAGTTAACGCTGTTTAAAACTTTAAGATTCGAGGCTTCTTATCTAACATATCGGTATTCAAATATTTGCCGCACCCACCTGCAAACGAAGTCGAATGATGCGTGTTCACCATCGACAGGGGATGCTGATTGCGCATTAGATCCACGACTCCGAGAAGACCGCTCACCGCCACCTCTCGCACGGGGCTGGTGCCGGCTGTCGCGGCGGCGACGGTTCTCATGATGTCGGCTTGAGAAGACGCGGCCTCTCTAGAGTTCTCGTTCACCAGCTGTTGGAGGGGGGATGTGCCCGATGCCGGTCCGTTCGCAGAGGCCGTCGGCGTCGGGATGCTCTGCATGCTGTTTTCGCTCAGCATGCTGTTCTCGCTGTTCTCGTCCAGTACTTCCGTCTTCAAGTTATCCGGCAGGATCAACTGAAGGCTCGACGAAGATCGGCGATTCATTAGAGGGTTCGTCACGAGCGCCGGTGGCGGCATCATAACATCGGGCGGCGAATTCGGATGGCAGTTGGAGGACTGTGTGGTCCACATCATCACGGGTGTCACTTGGGAGGTTGCCGTCGGCGGTGGACTGGGATCGCTCTTCAAAGTCTCCGAAGAAGCGGTCTGTTGCGCCTGAGTGGGAGGATTCGTCAAGAAACTTGCTGAACCCGCAGCTGCTTGCGATATCAGAGCTGTGGGAGTTGAAGACATGTTGCTTTCAGTCTTATCTTTGAAAATGCCTATTTGATAAAATAATAATTGATAACTGTCTGTTTATTGTCAGATATCTAAAGATAAAGAATTAAAAAAGATATAAAACACTAAGAATATAAATATATTAGCGTTAAAATACAAAACCTAAAAGAATTTAGGATTTAAATGTACAGAAGCCTGAGATAAGAAAAACCAAAAAAATATAAGAATATCTTAACTCAACAAATTTCAAGAATCTAAAATTCCAACGACGCAACAATCGAGAGATAACATCTTCAGACTTGGAATCTACACAATCGCTTATTAAACTATGACGCTGCTTCCACCAGCGAAAATAAGATTCACCGATGATAAAACTTACTGTTAGTCACCACACCCGTGGCGAGTGGCACTGCAGCGGAGGACGTAACTAGAGCCGCGTCGCCATTCGTCAACGGGGGCGTGATAGGCTCGACTTTGCCCACGGACGGCTGCGGCGGCGTGGACGCGGCTGTGTAAAGAAAAGTGTGCGGCTCGCTGGTTTTCCCGGACGACACCGCGTACAGCTTCACACTGACCGTCTCCGTGGACGCTAGATCTTGTCTGCGATAAGCCGGCACCACGCACACCAGATGCGTCGGGTGCAGATACTCCTTGTCCGGTATTACGTTGCGTTCCCAATGCGGTTCGAGAATGGTCGACTGGTCTTCGCTGTCCAGCTGAAAGACCACGTGGGTGTCCTTCAGAAAGTTCTTGCCTAGTATGATGAGCTCCAACCCGCCGGTGCACGGGCAGGACGTTAGAGATTTCTTGCATATTTCCGGAATTCCAGGCGGTTGAGCTGTGAACGTAGAAATTCGATGATGTAAAAAAAAAGAATAAATCGCAGGTGTTTCTTCATGAACTTGAATCTACTTTGTTGGTTCAATATATTTTTGTTTCCTTTCATTGTTAATTTACTGTCTTTTCGCAATGCTTTTGCAATTTATTTTATTTTATTTCTACTATTATTAATATTATCTTATTTTTGCTATTAATTGTTCAATCATTCTACATTTGCGTCGATACTTATGCTGACATTGCTTTTGAAATTGTGAATAAACGTTTTTCGCAAACATTCACCTTTCCTTCGTCTCTCATGCAGTTTCCTTGTCTCTTTTTGAGGTGACATATTTTCCTTTCCTCAACACGACTCTATAAAAAATTATCTATTCAAGTAGACGGTTGAAACATATATTTCACTGACCTTTCTCAATCTTTACGATATTAACTTACGATTTATTAACAAATAGGCTTCATATTTTGCGCACTACAATAAAAATGTATATATTTACTTTCTGATTAAACAATATCCGTGATAATTTCTCGAGACAAAATTTCTTCAGTGCCTCCGCTCTTCCAGCCGTTCGTCTGATAATGTATCTTTGATATTCGTTATTGAGCAACGAAAGATCGGCAACATGTTACATAACAAAACACAAGACGAATTTTGATGATTAGCTAATGTCAACACAAATAACAGCGCGAGTTGTGTGTACGAAAAATTCGACTCACTGCAGACTATCGGCTGCGAGCAGACCTGCAGGGTCTCCGTGGTGCCGTCGGCGTGCGTGATGGTCGTGCGAAAGATCATGCGGCATCGCGTGGACTTCTTCTTGCTTCGACCCTGAAGCTGTCCCGCTTCCTGCGGAAATCTGTGCTCGACATCGACATTGCGCTCCTTCAAGATGCCGACGCAGTCGCACGTGATGTCCTTGGCGGGCTCCACGTCGATCTCGATCACGATCGTGCCGTCGATCTTGCGCTCCACGCACGGCGTGGAGTTCTTGCCGCTCACGCGGCACGCCTGGTAGAACATGTGGGGCAGAACGCGGCCCATGTCGGTGCCGATGAACACCTGCAGGCTCGTCGGTTTATCGTAGCCGATCAGCCGCACGATGGGAAAGCCGTTTCCGCTGCGGTCTTTCACCGCGCCCCGCGAGCCCTCGGTCTGATAACGAGCGCGATGCTGTTGCTCGGGCTGGCAGACGATCTGCAGTTGCGCCTTGCCGTCGGCGGAAACGTTGGCTAGGGGGGGAGGTGAAACAGAAGAAATTATAAACAATGTTGGATTAGGACACCGCGTGGGTTTATTTGGCGAATGTGCGGTGAGTTGGGAAATAACTTATCGAAGATGCAGGTGCAAATAAATAGAGAGAGATAGAGAGCTGGATTGCTGAGATCTTTGGACATTAGAATGTTTACCATTAGACCGTTGGAGGAGGGCCAAGAAAAGATGAACGCATCGCGTTGGAGGTGGTCCAATAGCAAACTAGACGCTTGACAAATTGATGAGATTCTTGACTATTCGGGGATCTAGAAGACTCGCAAAACGAATCTGAGAAGTCGAGATTTTGGAGACTTCAAATTCCAAAAGTTCGAGAAGCTCCACGAACTTGAAAGAATTCTCTCGATTTTTTAAAATTCAAATTTCAAGTAGAAGAGAAACAGGAATTCCGGAAATTAAGTCTCGAAGATGAAAAACTTTCACGATTTACAGCGTGCGAGAGATTTTCAATGTTGAAGATTTAAAAATGTCAGAAGTGGTTTACGATGTTTATGTAATCGTCAATGAATTTTTATCGCATAAACCAATTTGATGCATCCGATGCATCAAACATCTCGGCAATCATCGCGAACCATTTTTATCGCGCCAACCATGACGAAGCATATTGCTCCATAATCCGCGGATTATAAATACTCCGGAGAGGCGGCCGTACTCTGACCTATATTCGATATCAAAAAGCGGAGTATCGAATTCCTCACAGTATTAGTGTCGTCTTTTTTCTTATCGCCGCGAGAAGAAGAATGAAAGAAAGCGGATCCGGCAGCCGAAGAAGATAGCTTATCGACGGTGAAGGCGACAGAGGTGAACATTTTCGTCGAAAATAAATCCGCCGATGAGTTTGCTCTTGTTGCAAGACAGTGCGAGCGAGAGCACCGCGCGGCTTCTGCGATGCGAAGCAATGAATTGTCCTATCCGTTCCCTCCTCCTCCCTCCGTCCTCACTCCGGCAAAACAAACGTTTTCTCGCTTCGAGAACGACTGACTTTACGCTTTATGAGATGCAATAAAGTACACGAATCTTCTGTTGATTTCTGAATGCAATAAAGTGCATGAATCTTCTGTTAACACAGTTGTATACATAATCACAAGTCGATAAGCACAAGTAGCAGATGAGGGAGAGAAGTCGTGATGCGAAGTTTTTGCGCGATTGCATCAACCGCGCCGTAACAAAATTATTTTGTGCAAGAATATATCGATTAAAGGAACGGTATCTGGGATTTCTAATATTAAACGTTCCGAATCCTTCATTTATTGATGTAAATATCTGAGTGTCCAAAGACGTAAAATTTTAAGAACCTAAAGGCAAGCCAGGACGCAACCGAAGTAATCCCTAAAGGCCAAAGGTTCGAAAAATTAAAGTTTAAAATGTCAGAAGTTTCGAAAATTCACTAAAAATTCTGCGTTCTTAATCTATCTCGAAAACTTGGAACTTGCGCGCGTCTTATTTCGTCGTCAATTTCTATTATTATCGAAACAGCTCTTGAGAAATCTAAATATCAAAACTCTGCAAAAAACGACATTTTTCTGTGTGAGAGATTTTTGTAAATAAATCATTTTCTCCGTTTTGAACTCTAAGTTTTCGCACCTCATCTCTCTTGAGCTTTACTCGAAGATAGCAAGTTGCGTTCTAAGAAAAGACGGGTTTTGCATCTGAATTTCTATTTTGGTATTTATCTGAGGACATACATAGTTGCGAGCTGAGTGTGACAGGTCCCTGATGACTGGTCGACGTCCGTTTGGCTAGCACGCCCATGGCCGGTCGAGGTCTAGTCACCCCTACGACTCTGCTGACGGAATTGCCGATCCCGTTGCCGGCTCTGCTGCCGGCTATACCGCCCAGACTGATCCCGTTGACGGTGGTTCTGGTAGCCGTCAGAGATTTGTTGTCGGGACTGGTGCCGGGAGCGACTTCCGGGAATGCGAAGTTTGCATCCTCGGATTCCAATTTGATGTCCATCTTCCTTCTCTTCGAGTCTTCCTCGTTGGCACCGTTCCAAGGCTGATAAAGCAGTCGTGAGATTAATCGATCAATCTACTATGTGTAAGATGTCTCGATAAATATTCTCAAAAAATTATTCCGCAATATTCCGATTAGACACTGGATAAATGAAAAATATTAGAATCTGAAATGTCGTGTTCGTGTATGCTTTGAAAAATAATATAACTAATTTTTGGAAGTTTCTTTACGTAAGCATTACTGACGATTAGTGGTGATTAGATTAGATAAGTAAACCTGAAACTTTGAAAACTTTGAAACAACACTAATTATCAGTGAAAATGGCGTTTACACAGAAAATTAGAAAAACAATTCCATTATTTTTTAAATTTACTGCATGGAGGATATAAAATTTATAAATGTTAGTTGATTCATTTAATATCGATAACAAATAATAGAAAAAACAAGGTGTGTGTTTTACTTTATTTTATGTAAACTTCTGTATTTTTATCTTTGACTTTTTAAATTATGTGCTTTTGCAATCTTATAACAATTTCAATATGATTACAAAATTTACTCAGCCAGGAACATCTTCTATGTTACAAATCAATTAGTTTGCGTTGCGTTTTTAATTTGTTAACTTGCGTTATTTTATGTTCCGATAATATTATAACTGAAGATGACGAAAATCCATGGTCGAAACGTATTAACGTAAAAATTGTTAACGTATTAAAAGAAGTTAAAGCAACAGCATCTCGCTTCGACTGTTCCGCCGTTTTGCTTTTCTATTATTTGTTTAAAAAAGAGAGCTCCGACTTTGTTATTAGTATTGATAACTCCGCTGCTTTATTTCAAAATCTCTCTGCTTAATTAAAATACAAGATTACGGTACAAATCTTAACGAATTCAATTTAAAAAAACAATCGTAACGAATTTAATCAAAATTAAATCGCCTCTGTGAAATCGTCTCTGCGAAATTGAGTTAAATTTATAAGCAAGTCCTATATATTGAATATCTTGGATTCAGCTCATCAGCTTTCGCTGTGGAAACGTGATACATCGAACGATTAGGTATAAAAGCGACACTCCGTACGCACGAACGTCTAGTGCAGTTAATTTAACAAATCAGAACGTCGACTGAGTTCAACTACCGTTCGAGCGGTCGGCGATCTCCGATGATGATATTGATGACGGTCACGCGTACTCTGAACGCATTAAATAACTTCATCTGGCTTCTAGTCGCGTTTCTAACGATTCAGGGTGACTCAGGGCCGCATGCTATTGCGAAAGTGTGCAAAGCGCGAGATCGAGCAAAAGCTCATCCGCCTTCTTTTTCCCTTGCTTTAGTAAAGCAAAAAAAAAAGAACACAGCAAATATATTGACAATTCGCAAATCTTAGTTTCATTGATTTTTCGAAACAACGTTACTTAATATTCTTTCACACCCGAATACCCGTCATTTCTAATTTTCCATAATGCTGCAAATAGATCTAAAAAGGATCTCTTACGAGTTTTTTTAGAATTCTACTCTGCTAGAGTTTCAGGGTAAGCGAAATTTTACAACTCTATAACTTAATAAAATAATGATTAAATCGTTCGCGATTTAAAATTTAAAATATCGTTATTTATCATCGAGAACTACTAACATTGACGTGCTGCTGGCGCTCCTCGGAGCCAAGACCGGAATCGTTTGAGTTGTCGTCCTGCGTCGTGCCGGTTCTGGATCCGTGATCATCCGAGCTCCTCACGGCGACGCCGGCAAAGGACGATAATGGTAATCTGGGTTGCTTTTGTTGTTGCTGCTGTTGTTGTTGTTGTTGTTGTTGTTGTTGTTGTTGTTGCTGCTGCTGCTGCTGCTGTTGCTGTTGCTGCTGCTGATTGACTATTCTTCTGGTTACGGGATGAGTACGATTACTTGGGGTTGTGGCGCTCCTCGAGACGGACGATGCTGTCACCGTTGACGACGTACCACCTGCATTGTTACCTGCAAATCAAATCGATCTCGTTATCTCGATATCGCAGCAATCTAAATTATCCTTGATGAAAAATGTATTTAAAGTTTTGAGAAATGTAATATAAATATATTTAGTATATTATTTATATGTGACTTTAAATAATAGATGCAGAGATGCAAGTAACCGAATGGACATGAAGTTCGGCAAGCGAACAAATGGATTCTCGAGAGTTCCGTGACTTCTCTCGAGTGTTTGCGCATAATAACAAATACTTGAAGCTCTTGTGTTCTCAGATATCATCAATTTTTCAACTTCTATGATTTGTAAGAATAAATTCTCAGATCCTTACGAATCGTTAAGTCCTACAAAGCAAATCTTATATATTCCTAAATTCGCAAAATCTCAAAAATCGCTATATAAAATATGTAATCAAGTTCCGCATCGATTTTTATATTATACTCTCATAAAAATGTTTGATCTTCCGCAAACTCCGCCATTTCACCCAAGACTGTATCTGCTTGAGTTTCCGGCAAGCTTCTCTCTCTCTCTTTTCCTCCTTTCCCAATACCAATACTATTACCATACTATTATCTAATCAGTAGAATTCAACATTTCCGAAGTCCGCAATCTGCAGAATGTTGGAACCGCTCGTTACCAGTAAAATCGAATCCCGGACACGAGGCACCATTCGACAGCGGCATTGATAGACGTACTCTCGCAATTTACGCATCGAGCATGAAGAGCCGGCGTGTGCATCGTCGGGGCGCGATAAAAGGGGGGGAGGAAAAATACGAAATACACGAGCCGGCGAAAGAAGGACAAAAAGACGAGGCAACGACGCAAACGCGGGGGGGAAGTTGGAAGGCGGGGAAGAGGCGGTGTAGCAATGTCGGACGGTCTATCTATAGAACCGACTCGACTACTGGACGGGATAATTGCGTGGGGGTGAAGTTGCAATCGCGGACGCAACTGGTGGTGACGGGGGTTTAATTCCCCTCCCCGTCGCCGCTACCACCGCCCCACCTACCCACCACCCCCTCTTGCCCCGAGACCCGTAGGGGATGGCGAGCGCGTAATCGACGCATGCACACACGTGCATAAGGTGCATCTGTGTGAACGTCGAGGAAAATCACGGGACGATGTCAACGACCCGGCTCGGTCAGTTTCCAATCTCCTTTTCTCTCTCTCTCTCTCTCTCTCTTTCTTACTTTCTCCCCTCGCTCCTTTCTAATGTCGCAGATTCTACTATTGCCAATCATTATATTACATCAGGTGGTAACAGCTACTCCTCTCTTTCTTTTTTCCCCGCGGCCGCCGCGCGTCACGAAAATTATTTAATCAATTTCATAATACGGCTCGTTCGTTATTATTCGCTATCCTTTTTTTTTTCTTTCTGCATTTAAGTGGCGCTTAATAGAGCGCTGAGATTATCAGCGCTTATCCTTGCATTACGTCGAGCGTACGATCCACGTCAGAAGTCTACTCTTCCCTTCCACATTCCATTCGTTACTCGAAGAATTTTTAATTTATTTCCTTTTTTAAATTTATTGTCGCGATATCTCAAATCATAGAGAGTCGCAAATTTTTATCATTAAAAAAATGAAGATAATAACTTTAAATATCAAGTACTTCGAATAATTGCAATCCGATGACGGGAATGCATAATTCGTAAAGGCAAGCTGTGTAAAAAAAAAACTACAGATTTTGTTGTGAATATAATTCAACTTCAGTCTTTCATTTTTCTGCGTTTATAAAAAAAAAAAAAAAGTAGCCAACACATTTCGAAAATAATCAATAGCGCCGCCTGTCTTAGCGGAGAGCTGCTTGATTGCGCGGCGATGCCATAAAGATAATAATCGCGAAGGTCTCGCGGGTGGTTTTAATTACCCCGGCAATCTCGCCAGTCGATAAATAAACGCGACAGAAGGATCTGTACACCTGCAGTAGAGGTGAATGTATCTCTTTATCGTCTTGTGGAAGGGTACCGCCAAGACGAATTAGGACTCTCTCTCTGTGTATTTGCGTCTTTCAGCGACGTCCTCGAGCTCAGCGGAGAGACAGAAAGAAAAAGAGAAAGAGAGAGAGAGAGAGAGAGAGGGAATGTACCCTCGATAACAGGATCGATAAACATCGTTACTATTACATGGCAAACAAGAGCGCGAGCGCGCTAACTACGACGCCTCTCTCGAGTCTCAAGGATATATCGTTACCAGGACGAATGGGTGGAAGGACGAATGGCCGCCGGATCGATGCTTGGTCGATCCTCGTGGCAGTCGGATGATACCGTCCAGGAGCTCATCCACTGAGATATAAACGGGTTAATCCGTCGATTGAAACAACGCTAAGACGGTAGATTTCGATATTTGTGCGAATTTGTGATAAAAAATGTCGCGAAGAATGCGAATATTTAAAGAACTTTGCCAAAAAAGTTTTATGAATACGCTAATTTTATAATAGATAGAAATAAATAGTTCTGCTTGATAGTAACTAGTAAAATTTTATAAATAGATAATTAAGATTTTATAATGGGTAATAGAATTCTATAATAAGCACAACGGAGTTCTACAAGTAGTCGATAAGTAGTTTTCTCTCTATAATAGCTGTTTAACTTTTAACAGCAGATAATGGAATTTTATAACAAGGAGATAAGTTAAATCTCTCTCCCTCTCTCTACAGTTAAAAAACGAGATATTTATATAGATTTTTGCTCGAAATATTCCGATATAAATGTAAAGGATATCGTGCAATTTGTAAAAAATATTGATTCCGTAATAAATATTTGTATAATTATAAATTTATACCAATCAATAAGTAAACAAATATTTAAAGAATTAAATCGTTCGAAAAAGTTGCTTTCCTTTTTTACTCTCTTCTCGTATTTCTCGTAATAAATAACAATCTTTTATTGGAAGAGAGAGATAACTAACTAACGAGTAGGTAGTGAAAGTGTTATCGTATACAAATATAGCCAACAAAATCTAATAGATTTCTGTGATAAAAGAAATATCCAGAAGATAATTTCAATTTTTAAACTTTCCTTAATCTATTTTACACGCACTTTCCACTTAGAGCTTTAGATAAAGATTTTAGATAAAGAATTTTAATTTTCAAAAGAGAAGGGTCAAGATTCCATGTAATAGCATCAACGAAACGACGGAATATCGCTCGCAATCTCCGTTAAAACCTTCAACGCACAAAAATTAAAATGCCGTCTAGAATCTGTTTCACATTCCGAATCCTTACATTTGTGTAAACCGCTTATGCTGAACATTATTTCGGCGAAACACTTGCAGAAAATTAGCAGATCTATTATTCATTGGCTTTCTCTCTTAGATAATTTCAATTCCGACAGAATTCCGCTGTGGCAATGTAGCCTCGCATGACTGTCTGTGTACATTTAATGGTATTGCTGATAGCCTACTTAAGTAGTCGAGATAAGGAGCCGAAGACGCTCAAGAAACTCACTGCTTGGCACCGGTTCCGAATAAAGTGGAACAAATAAAGATTGACGCGGTGCATTTATTAATCTTCAGAATTTCGACAATTCTGGAAAGTAACGAAAATTCAAGATTACATCGACAGCTCGGCGTGACACATCTTTTAAAAAATCGCCCTTAAACAAATAATAAAATAAATTAAATAAAAAAACATGATGTAATAATTTTTAATTTTACGACTTGAACTGAGAGAAGAAAATCAGAAACACGCAGAATGCAAATGAAGACGAAACAATAAAATAAAGTTCCAAATAAAGATAGTTATTGAAGTTATTGTATTAGAAAATCTAATACATAAAAAAAAAGGGAACAATAAAGAAAAAGATAAGTTTTCTTATCGGCTGATCAAAGGTGCGACGGTTTATCGATAAGAGCATCGTCGAAGTATCTGTTCGTATCAAACGAATTATCGATAACGAAATACTGATTTCAATATAGGCAACCACTGACAATCACTGGCCTGGACCCGCTCGACGATGGGGCAGACAAGATGTTTCAACGATAACAGAAGTGTCACAACTTGTTTATGAAATGCCGAATCGTGGCATTCATGTCGATTAACGTTCAGGTTGCCGCTTCAGTTCTCGTAATTTCAATATTGTTGATTTTGTAATGATGTTTCAGTGATATATCCGTGTCCCTCTTCTCAATCAGCAACCAAAAACTTCACGAATAAAGGCGCAGGAAGATAATAATATAATTAAAAATCTGCAATTATAATTTAAATTGGAAAATTAAGTTTTTTAATTCTGCGTTGATTAAACGACAAACATAAGTTACACTAAGTTATTATAATTATTAACATATAAATAAATTATAATAAATAACAGTCGTTGATTGACAATAATTTCGTCATGAAATATCATCATTAATAGAACAATAATAATAGTGACAAGTCCAATATTAAAAGTCTACTAAATACCCATTTCAAATTAAGCGAGACACAAATGTTGACCGTGATTCCGTTTCGGAAATATAAATAAGAGCATTTATCTTTTTTTTTTTTTAATACTAAACAAGGATATCTATCGTTGCCCTAACTAGTCGACCACATTAATCAACTGTATCAATGTAAATACACTAATTTATTACATTTCGGTTCGCTGAGAACACGATTCCAGCTGCTGAGATAAAATCACCGATGTGAGTACACAAAGTGCCCGGGAAAAAATTTTAAGAAGACTGCTTGCTGAATTATTTTTGTAATAAAAAAAAATTTATGATGAATAATTCTTGTCTATGCAATTGCGATGGAAGATATTACTTTCAAGGACAATTGTAATAATTATTCATCCTATACACAATAATTCTTATATATACGTGTGCATATATTTGCTTGTAAATTTCTTTCAATAATTTGGTTTAATTTCGATGGTAATTAATTTTTTTAATATTTCTAAATTAATCGCTATTTTTATCGCGAGACTGTATTTAGAGTAATCCACATGACAAATCGCTACAGTCAGAAAACATTCGTTCAGATAATTCGTTGGAATGCATGTTGTTAATTACCGCAGGCCCGTAAATATTTGGCTCGAATAAGCGGCTCCGAGACGTTGTTTTGTCGTGCGCTAATCGCTTCTCAAAAAAAAAAAAACCAATCCGTATTGAACGGCCTAATCGAATTTATCAATCCGGCGCCAATTGAGTCAACTGTCATATGTGTTTGCGCGTGTGTTAGCCGCGTTATTCAACATGTTATAGACGTTATTCAACTATGCATACAGTGCGCCGTGTGTGTTAACGAGCTGCGTATGCGCGCATTCGTGTTTGCAAACGATTTTAGCGATCGTCGAGACGCGAATACAGGCCAAAGACTTTTTGCGTATTAATTCGAGGAGATGATCAGATCGTTCACAGAAGCGTTTCCGAAACACGAGCGCGACGATAACGCAATCGAAATTGATCAGTTTTTAAAATTGAATTAATATTTACGAGGCTTCTCGAATTTTTACACAACAATCTCACGCGAATTCTTCGAGAACTGTGAAACTCTTCAGACCTGCGAGTGAATTCTTTAAATTCCCAAGTCGTTATATTTCTTAATTTCCAAATTTTTATTTTGAATGCGTTCAATCACGACAAAAAATTATCAATTTTTAAAAATCGCATTTAATTAAAGATCTAAAAAAACGCAATACAGTTATTTTTTAACGGCTGCAATTGCTGTATTTTCTTAATTCAATGTTGTAGATTTCTGAATCCTCGGTTAAATAAATTCGTATAGAATGCATAAATAATTTATCGATTTTTTTTCATTTATTTTCTGTTCTCATTCATTACTTCGTCGATGTTACTTGATTCGATTCGATTCCGAACGAGTGCAATCGCCAGAATCGATGACGCCGATCACAGGCGAGTGCATTCATAAACAATGACGTGAATAATGATATGAACGCATTAATATTCGTCTCGCCGAAGACACGTTCCGCTGTCTGGCTGTGACTTTTCATATTTCAGCTCTCAATTCTCACAGCATTTAATGCTTAACACGCATTCTCAATTTTCATATCTGACGTTCGACACCGGATATTCTTGAAAAATGAATATTTATCAAAACGGTTATCAAACCATTTAGATAAAAGTCTTTTTAAAACTAGAACGATAAAAATTATTTCAACTTTTGAGTATGTTGTTTTTTTTTATTTACGGACTTTAACGCCGCTTAGTTTATTTTTATTACTCAATATCAATTATATTCAATGCGAATCTCGTTTTCTCGCGTTCATTCCTTGTTCCTTGTATCTCACACTCATATTTTATTGTGTCTCGACCCTTAGACGCGTATCGGGAATCACGAAGGTTATCGAGAGCTGCGCGCAGCCATTTTCTTCGCTGGCCAGCCACGATATTAGCATCCAGTATTTTCAACAATAACGCCGGCGGGAGATAGAGCGAAAAAACATACTTCAGAAGTTCGTCGACCCCGCAAAAGCGTGCGCGCACGCACGCACTACTTCGTGTTTAAAGTCATAAGCATGAAGAGGAACACACGGCGTGTCGTATATGATTTTCTTTAATATATGCTGCATCTAATATTGTAGCGAAACGAGATATTGCGTTTCTTCTTCCCTCATTCTACAATAGACAGTTGTGCATGTGACCTATGCGAGATAGATAAGGAAAGAAAATTGCCAGCTCGCTGAACCGGTCGTTGCCGTCTTCAGCTGAAACAACGTGCTTCATTTTGCAGCGTAGCACAGTTTGCAGAAAAAGAACTTGCGCTCGCGATGTAAATTTTTTTTGGACCATACCCGGTTCTTTTAACCTTGAGACGGCTGTACGTAACTTGATTACGAGAGAAAGCGGAAGAACGGGTGCGCGCGGTATGAAAGTCCGCGATCTAACTTCATTTTACGAGTTTGGTTCAAGAAAAATAAAATTCGTTCAAGTCTTTTTCTAGATGATTTCCGAGAAGAGCTATCTATTGCACTCCCCCCCCTCCACCCTCTCTCCATCCCCTTCCTCCTTATTATCTTTAATAACAACCGCAATATCAGAGAAATATTTTGATAAATATTTTGTTGTTCCGTAAACATAATTATAAATACACAATATACAAATATGTACGAGAAGAAAATACCATTGCTACAACGCGATTAGCCGTTTTTTATTTGCACCTGACAGTTTAAAGACACCCAAAAGTTTTTGAAATGAAAACTTTCCGCCTTAAAATATCAAATAAGAAAATATATAAATAAATCTTCGAGCATTATAACAGTTTAAAATCTCTAGATCTTCAAATTATTTCATTTCTCAATTGTGTGTCTTTCAACACAATGCAACGAATTATTCTTGAAATTATTTTTAAATGTTTATAAATCATGATAAGTTATATTAAGCTTGATGAGTCAAATCTTGTTTATAAAAAGGTTTATTAGTAAAAAGGTAAATTAACTCTTAATGAGTCAATCAATTTTTGTATTAGATAGGACACAAATGAAGAAAGAACGAGAACTATCGAACGATTTTTCGTCAACGAAACTTATTCACTTCAATAAATTAAAATATTTGAGATTTTATGATTCTAATCGGAATCGACAAAAATGTCTCATATTTCAGAGAAAATATGTAAAATAATGGGTACATTATTTCTGAATAAAAACTTTTATATTACTTTAAAAAGTAATAAATAGAGTAGAGGAATAAAAAAACTGAAAAAAACCGTAAACCAAAAATAATTTAACCGATTCGGTTATGATTCCGATGTTATAAACTTCATGAAACTGCGGTTCAGTTACAGCTTTGATTTCAACAAAAACGACGGAACGGTTATCGGTTGATTCCGGTTCACTCCGGGTCTCTGATGCTAACAGATAACAACCTACAGATAACTCAACGAATGGTGTGAAAGATGAATAATGCAAAGGGCTGTGAGCGTGTCATTGAAAAAAATATTTACTGTAATGAATAAATAAAAAAGCAATTATTTCCATTGAAACGACAGAAATCAAGTTCGGAGTTTCTGAACGAAAATCGGAGAGACGACAGTTTTATAAACAAATTCGATTGAATGCATTAAAATCGCACTGTCAAGGTCTGATGTGTATTTTTATCTAAATGTATAAAAAGACTTTGAAATATCCAATATATTTTGTGCTAAATGTAATCCTAGTAAGAGAATAAATTACACAAGATGTTTTGTGGGTCTAAGTGGATTGTACTAAGATCAAGAGTGTGCAAAAGTTTTTCCATCGCTCATATATAGAGAGATCGATCGAAAAATAAAGACTTCTTTTATCGCGATATCCATCTTTTATCTGAAAGATGGCAAGAAAATAATAAATAATGCCGGAAAACCTTTTCACCACAAATATTGTCATTCGTAAAATATTACTAAAGAAAATTGAAACTAAATTACTGAAGGAAACTTCGAAGCGATGGAAACTTGCGTAATATATTACACGTATATTTTTTTATCACTGCAATTCGAACAACCGAAATTCGCTGTTAGACGGCTGACAACTTCTCGAATCCATGCTAATTACCATGAATATAGAGCTCTGTCGGCTTACTGCCTACACATCTGTACTGCAAGAGCATGCCCAGATGATCGTTGACATGTTCCAAGGTTGCACCGCTGCCTCTCCTTGATTCCTGGCGCCTCTTCTCTAAATCGGGTGCCATCAGGCCCCTCTAAAACTCACAGTCTCTTCCGCGGCCACGACAGACAGAAAAGTCGTTCACAAATCACAAATTCCTCGTTTTCACTCGTGCGCCCGAGATTGTCCGGCGATCCGGAATGATAATAAAGCTCCTCTTTGCAATGTTTCAAAAAATACAAAATTGTTTTGATATATTCGTGGGTCACTCGACATATCATATCACCCTTTCCTAAAAATAAGACCTCTCTTGCACTCTTATTTCAGATAAAAAACCGTTCGGCACAGTTCAGTTTTATAATCCAGTGCGTGTCACATGTCAAGAACGATGCGATACGACCGAGTTCTGAAATGTTTATCGGCAAATCACTATCTATTTAAATCAACAAGCTTTGAGATCCGATAGTTCACAGTATGGCGCGAAATATCGATTCCATAACGATCAGCGCGCCTCACATCGTTACGCGTAGTGTTTCAACTTCCATAAAGACACGTTGCGACGCGAGTGATGTCGCTTGCAAGCGCGAATAATGCGATGTAGACGATGATATGAAGAAAAGAGAGACTGACGAGAAAGAGGAAAGAACGACAAACAGAACGAAAAAAACACGACGCGCGTCGTGCGCAGACTAACGCCACGATGCTCGCCCGAGATCGGCGTGACCCGAGCTCGCGAGTAAATAAGCCCCCACCCTCGCATTTGTAGCGCGCCGGGGAAGGTGATCAATCAACAGGCGCTAATTACTTAACTTATCGGTGGAGATGCTTAAATTTGATCGAGTAACGATACCTGTCACCATTCAAAATCGAAGAAGCGAGAAAATAAATTGAAATTAAAATATTGACCCTACAACGGCAACATTAAGCTTAGACGCTCTTTCGTGTCTATAAAAATTGTTTTTAATTTTTGAAAATTTCAGCACTAAAGTTGCGCAAATAAAATCCCTACGAAGAGAAGAAAGTATTGCAAAGCGTGGTTCGAAATTTGATTATGGCAACTCGGCGGCGTTTAATTCTATCGATGTTGTGCATGTCACTCTCTGAAAGATCGATTGGATATGAATAAAGCATACTATCCTTCGTGATATGAATCAGCATCTATCTTCAAAAGCCATCATTCAAAGAGTAAATAAACCGAATAAATAAATTTTAATATTAACATCTAGAGATCTATATCGAGTGACAACATCAAAGTTTTCCCGCGTCTCAAACATAAAGAAGAATGCTTTGAAAATTGCATTTTAAAGTTACGTAAATGAAGTCCGCACGAAGGGAAGTAGCTTAGTTCGACCTTTAATTGATAACAGTTTGGCGACGTTTAATTCTTTCGATGTCACGCTCTTGAAGGACGATTAGGCACGAACGGAGCGTGCCGTCCTTCGCGACTCAAAGTCGCTGCGTACAATCACCAATTTTTTTTTTTTTTTAAATCTAATGCATGAATCTTCGCAAGCCGTGAGAGAATCCGTTCCGTCACGGCGAACGACGATTAGATAATCGACGCGAGCGTGATCGATTAACGCGCGAGCGAGTGCGCGTCACGATCCCCGGCGTCTCAATCGTGACGTCAAAGGTCGATTATGAGTTTACAATCCTCGGATCATTTACGACCCGCGTAGCAATTTAATGCGAGATGCATTGCGATAGCGGAGTTATCAATCTGTTGAATAATTCATTCTAATTACTATTTATACGTGGATCATATAATTCCGCAGCTTCAGCGATCCGTAGATCCCCACGCAGATCACGGCATAATTGCGAATCCGTCGAATGTATAAGGTACTGAGAAATTGCACTTTAAGATAACGCAGAAGATTTTAAAAGAGAGAGAGAGAGAGAGAAAGTTCTCATAGAAAAAGAATTTTTTCCACTACGATTCAAAAATTACGTGAACGTTCAAAACTTTGGTCCAGTAAGGGCCACTTTTTCCAACGTCGGTTAACTTTAACCGACGTTGGAAAAAGTGGCCCTAAGACCTATTAAAAATAATTAAAAAATAAAATGCCATTACACGCAAAATTTGGGTTTTCCATGTTTGATGGAATTTTGGGACTCGCGAGTTTTACATTGCCCGATCCGATTTATTGATTTATGCAGTCCGTACCTGTTTAATCATGCCACAAAATCCTACTTTTCTCCCGCTTTTTCTTCAATAATGATCGGATTGCCAAGTTTCTCCGTCAAGAAATCTTCGCCACGAAACATCGTGAATATTCGCGATCTGCGTAACGCGAAGCTTCGTGAATACTGCGCGTCATGCAGCAGTAAGTACGCGTAAGTTTATTATTATTTATCATTATTGTTATCTCGGTCGCCGCAGAAACCCGAGACATCGATCTAAAAAAGTATCGCGCGAGCGTGAAAAATCTGACGACGCGAGAACACAACGATTGAGAAACATTTATCACCAGCGCCAGTGACGCGTCTGTGTGTCTTAACATCTACAAGGTGTTTGGAAAATCGCGTGTTTTCCTGTCAAACGGAGAGAAAATGTACTGCATATGTGTGTCGAAATTTACACATTAATCCTTCCTTCCGTTTTATTAATTGTCTGCCTCTTGGTTGTTACGGAAATAATTGAATAATGCGGAGTATGTTAATCTGTTTGCGCAGTCGCTGTGCAATCTAGATTAGCCATTCTTCCAGAGTTGCAAAACGCAATTCTGCAATATTCATTAAATATGGATTACAAAAGCAAGGAGGTTGCGAATCACTCGCAAAGGAACTGCGATAAACGCCTCATATTTAACTCTATGTGGTTGTAGAAACACTTCATCTCGCGCAAGATGCTACTGTATATTTGAAAATCACATTTTAATTATTTGCGCTATATCCAAACTATGGAATAAAATAAACCTTAGTGTCCACAAAAAGTTGAGAATTACTTTGTGCTTGAAAACACAGCTAGATTTTGCGCATCGGCGGAAAGCAAACGTAGACATTGCGTCTTAATTGCGCGATAGCTGGCTTCGATCGTATGCACTTCTTATGAAACATGACGGGACATTCCCGTACGTTTATGAGAGAACGTCATTACGATGGAGCGCGCGACATTGCGTCTATACAACGTACACCCGAGAATTTGCTATATCATATTGCGTACCGGCAACGTAGCTAAAAAAATGGTACCGCATCGTGAAAGAACCAAACATTCGCATCGAAGGAAAGGAAATGACAGCTTACATTGCTGCTTGATTAAATCTTGCTATATGCGTCGCGTACTATTTACGTACGTATTTGTTTTTTTCTTTTATTATTATCCTACCAATATCGCCCATTATTGATATCTATTCATTAAGCTAGATTGAAAATGAGTAATGACTGTTATGTTGAATTACACTAAACGTTATGAAAACAACAAATGAAACTTAGCATAGATTATGATAGGTCAGGGTTAAATAGAGTGTTAACATGACTTAGCATAACGCAGGTATGACGAACACTATATATTTATTTAATTTTAAGCACACAAAACAAAGTGTGATAAAGACTTGTTGTCCTTTTAAGCTGCGTCCCAAAATTCTATTCAATCAATTCTAAAAAATCCAAAGCAATGAAAAATATTTTTCTTTAATTTTAATTTGAGAACATCACAAAAAGATATCGAAATTTGAGATAAATTAATAAAAATTATAAATAATTTGTCAACTTATTAGAACAATTATGGAATAAGTTTGTGTTTAAAATATCTTTAAAAAATTTATATTTATACTCGTTAAGCTCAAAGAATTTTTTTAAATTGATATATGAAATAATGTTAATAGTAATTTAAAAAAATGGGCAGAAAGATTTATTTACATATTTTAACAAGGTTTAAATTTATATCTAAAAATTGATAAAAGTAAATCAGAATACTTATAAAAATGTATCACCAATCAGAAACACACCATCAGCTAAAATAAAATTAGAAAGGATAAGATTTCTCCAAGTGACCTCGGAAACAGAGATCTGCTCTACCTTGACTTTTGGAACACGTGGATTCCAGATACACATTACTTGATACTTCAAATCAATGATGAATTAACTTACTTTTATCGTAGAATTCGGAACGCAGTTGTGCGAGTTCACGATCGGCACAAGGGCTATTTTAAAATATATCCAAGTTTATTCATCGTACAACAAAATCTACTCAGCCGCAGACTGTAACTATTCAGTTGCTGTGAGAAATCTATACTTCAACTATGAATAAATTAAATTTATTCTTCACGATTTCTATGGTTGTCTCTTTGATCATTCCTCGCACAAATAAGTCAGCGAATGCAATAAAGTCCAATGTGCACGATCGCGCTCATGTTTGTTGCTCGTCTCCTTCTCTTCTCCCTACGTGCCTACCGTTCAATTACTCGCTACACATACACACGTGCAGTGTGTACCTACACATGTGCAGCCGTGCGAAGGAGACTTCTACGTGGTTACTGATAGTACGGTAAACGTCTGCAAGCTCGCTCGCTCGCTCGTTCTATTAGTCATGCTAGACAATTACCAGCTGTTTCATAATGATGGGTCATATGAAAATCCTATGACACGACGATCGACTTTTTTCGCGGAAAATCGACGGGTCGGCCCGATGTTTTGTTCGTCACATCGCGCAGTTGACGACTTTATGTAAAATTGTGCGTCGATTAAAGATACTTGCGCGCGCGATGATATCGAGATAACGATACTTTTATCGCCGACACCGGAGTAAGCGCAACTAAAGATTAAATTGAACAGGCTATCGAATAACGCATCAATACCACTTCGATAATAATAAAATTGTGTGTAAATGTTATAATCATATTTCGAGGTTTCAATCTCACGAAGTACAGATCGTCGCGATATCAGTGCGCAGAGTGGTGTTACTACTATTTCAATATTGTCGAAATACTGTCAACATCATGACGCGCGTATGAATGGCGATTCTAGCACGACTCGTTGAACGTGAATCTCTCTGGACGATGACCCGCCTTGCTTATTTATCGTCACGCTTTTATGGTTTAACTGTTATTCGGTGCTTGCTATGAGATATTCAACGTACTCACACGTACATGTCGTATATTGATCGATCGATACGATCTCGACGGTAGCCGCTTTACGTAACGCGCATTATTTAGATATATTTCGTCGGAGTTATTTCAGGCGACATATACATAAATATGTATATGTTTATTTATTTATTATTCCTCAATTTATATATGTGTTCTACTAATTTATTTGAAGTCGACGACCTTCCATCTTTTATACGAATAGAATGATTTTGTAATTTCGCAACAATTCTCTTTAATATGATCGCTGTGACGCATCGACCGACATCATTATTTCAAACTAAAATTACAATTGACTTAATTTGAAAAAAAATACCTAATGTTTTAATCAATTGTTACAATATCTTCGATATATTGTGTACGAATATGAACCTGTATCGTAAAACTGTGATTTTATTAGGTGAAGAAAACACGCATATTGAAAAGAGGGAGGGAAAGAGAGCGCGAGATTTTACTTCGCGACGGCCATGAGAACGAGATGAATACTGAATAGAGGCGCATTTTTGTAAGCTGGACTCTCGGAGCCTTATCTGAAGGTGGACGGCCTGCTATCATTGTGGTTTTCATAGAAAGTCTGATAACGCACACGATACAAACGTAAACACGGA